CTGCTGCCTGCTGGTGGTGCTGCTGCTGGTGGCTGCTGCTGCTGCTGTGGTGCTGCTGCAATCAAACAGCCTCCAAAGCAAGAAACAAACAGCCAGACACCCTTTTCGAAACACATCCGAAACAGCAAAACACAACCTAATTTCGTGCCCAAAACGTAGCAAAGGAACCCCAAAAAAGGGCCTAACGTCACTTCTGAAACCTTACTATAAAATTGCAACTTTGCCGCTGCCTGCCGCTGCCTGCTGCTGCTTGCTGCTGCCTGCTGCTGCCTCTGCTGGTGTCTGCTGCTGCCTGCTGCTGCCTGCTGCTACCTGGCCTGCTGCTCCTTGCTGCTGCCTGCTGCTGGTGCTGCTGCTGGTGGCTGCTGCTGCTGCTGTGGTGCTGCTGCAATCAAACAGCCTCCAAAGCAAGAAACAAACAGCCAGACACCCTTTTCCAAACACCTGCTGCCTGCTGCTGGTGCTGCTGCTGGTGGCTGCTGCTGCTGTGGTGCTGCTGTCGTGCTGCTGCAATCAAACAGCTTCCAAAGCCAGAAACAACTGCTGCTGCTGCTGCAGCTTTGTGTTATTGGTTCCATGGCTGCAAGAATGTTGTTGTTGTTGTTGTTGTTGTTGCTGTTGCTGTTGCTGTTGCTGCTATAAAATAAAATTAAAATAGAATCTTGCTGCTGCCGTTGCGCTTACTGCTGCTGCGTCTGCTTGTGTCTGCTGCTGCCTACTGATGCCTGCTGCTGCCTGCGGCGGCCTGCTGCCTGCTGCTGGTGCTGCTGCTGGTAGCTGCTGCTGCTGTGGTGCTGCTGTCGTGCTGCTGCAATCAAAGAGCTTCCAAAGCAAGAAACAACTGCTGCTGCTGCTGCTGCCCTTTTGCGTGCTCTTGCCGATGTTCTTGACACCCATTGGTGCCATATAAATGAGAAAATTGCCAAACGTGACGTCTGAAACCATATAGAAATATATACAAGAAAGATATATAGAAGTGCCTAACGTGTCGTCTGACATCCTAGAAAAACACAATTTTTCGACAGATTCTGCTGCTGGAGGCTGCTAGCAGTAAAACAGTTTCGAAAAAATCACCTCCCGGGGGGAAAACACCAGGGCTCTGAAGGACGAGCGAGTGCCAGAACCACGCCAAAAAAGTGCCTAACGTGTCGTCTGAAATCCTAGAAAAAGCTAGATTTTGGGTAGGCTGCTGGCTACTGGCTGTTGGCTGCTACTGGCGCTGGCTGCTAGCTACTGGCTATGTGCACCTTTTGCGTGCTCTTGCCCACGTTCTTGACACCCATTGGTGCTATATAAACGAGAAAACTGCCAAACGTCACGTTTGAAACCCTATAGAAATATATACAATATATATAGAAGTGCCTAACGTGTCGTCTGACACCCTAGAAAAACACAATTTTTCGATAGATTCTGTTGCTGGCGGCTGCTAGCAGTAAAACAGGTTCGAAAAAATCACCTCCCGGGGGGGGAAAGCACCAGGGCTCTGAAGGACGAGCGAGTGCCAGAACCACGCCAAAAAAGTGCCTAACGTGTCGTCTGAAATCCTAGAAAAAGCTAGATTTTTGGTAGGCTGCTGGCTACCTGGGCTGCTGGCTGCTACTGGCGCTGGCTGCTAGCTACTGGCTATGTGCACCTTTTGCGTGCTCTTGCCCACGTTCTTGACACCCATTGGTGCCATCCTAGAAAAACACAATTTTTCGCTGCTAGCTGCTAGCTGCTGCACTGCTGCCGTTGCGCTTACTGCTGCTGCGTCTGCTTGTGTCTGCTGCTGCCTACTGATGCTTGCTGCTGCCTGCTGCTGCCTGCGGCGGCCTGCTGCCTGCTGCTGGTGCTGCTGCTGGTGGCTGCTGCTGCTGTGGTGCTGCTGCAATCAAACAGCTTCCAAAGCAAGAAACAACTGCTGCTGCTGCTGCTGCTACTTCTGCTGCTGCTGCTGCCTTTTTGCGTGCTCTTGCCCATGTTCTTGACACCCATTGGTGCCATATAAATGAGAAAATTGCAAAACGTGACGTCTGAAACCCTATAGACATATATACAAGATATATAGAAGTGCCTAACGTGTCGTCTGACATCCTAGAAAAACACAATTTTTCGACAGATTCTGTTGCTGGTGGCTGCTAGCAGTAAAACAGGTTCGAAAAAATCACCTCCCGGGGGGAAAACACCAGGGCTCTGAAGGACGAGCGAGTGCCAGAACCACGCCAAAAAAGTGCCTAACGTGTCGTCTGAAATCCTAGAAAAATCTAGATTTTTGGTAGGCTGCTGGCTACTGGCTGCTGGCTGCTACTGGCGCTGGCTGCTAGCTACTGGCTATGTGCACCTTTTGCGTGCTCTTGCCCACGTTCTTGACACCCATTAGTGCCTGCTGCCTGCTGCTGGTGCTGCTGCTGGTGGCTGCTGCTGCTGTGGTGCTGCTGTCGTGCTGCTGCAATCAAACAGCTTCCAAAGCAAGAAACAACTGCTGCTGCTGCTGCTGCAGCTTTGTGTTATTGGTTCCATGGCTGCAAGAATGTTGTTGTTGTTGTTGTTGTTGCTGTTGCTCTTGCTGTTGCTGCCATAAAATAAAATTAAAATAGAATCCTGCTGCCTGCTGCCTGCTGCTGCCTGCTGCTCCTGCCTGCTGCTGGCTGCTGCCTGCTCCTGCCTGCTGCTGGCTGTTGCTGGCTGCAGCTGGCTGCTGCTGGCTGCCTAACGCCGGCTGCTGCTGGTTGCTGCTGCCGGATGCTGCCTGCCAGACACCTACTGCTGCCTGCTGCTGGCTGCCTGCTGCTACCTGCTGCTCCTGCCTGCTGCTGGCTGCTGCCTGCTCCTGCCTGCTGCTGGCTGTTGCTGGCTGCTGCTAGCTGCTGCTGGCTGCTGCTGGCTGCCTAACGCCAGCTGCTGCTGGTTGCTGCTGCCGGATGCTGCCTGCCAAACACCTACTGCTGCCTGCTGCTGGCTGCTGCTGGCTGGTGCGGGCTGCTGCTGGCTGCTGCTGGCTGCTGCCTGCTGCCTGCTGCCTGCTGCTGCCTGCTGCTGCCTGGTAGTAAAAGTAGCAGTGCAGCACCTCTTCTTCCCTTACGCGCTCCCCCTTGCATCGGCCGGGGTCAGCGAATTATTATTATTCTTTCCTGGCAGCTGTGTCATAAACTCTTTTTCCCTTACGCACTCCCCCTTGCGTCTGCCGGGGTCGGCAGATATTGAGTACATGGGTAGATATTCCTGCTTTGATCCATTCCACTCAGTTTTTGAGAGCCACAGTTCAGTAGATGGTTGTTGGAGAGGATCACCCCTGCAACATCCTCTATGCCCGATTACCGGCGTTTGGAAGACGTTAAGTTCTTCCCCCATCTTCCCCAGTGAGGCACGATCTGGAAGATTTGCGACGTGGTGCATGGTCACAGCCGGAGCCACCCCGGCAGGACAGATTCAGCACTGGGTGTTGTCGATCATAGTTTCCCCATGTTTCCCCTATTGTCTCGTGTGAAAGTAAGGCAATTTTTTGGGTAGACCTGATATTCAGACAAAAGCGAGAACACAAAATGGATAATATTGTTGATCACATATCTGATTATTATATCCCCATTTATATCCTCATTGACTCATTGCTGTATATCCTCATAAGATCATAATAAGATAATAAGATGGTTGGTTGTTGGTTATTTATGGTTATCTCCCTTTTGGACCTCCATAGTTCCCGTGTTCTTCTTGGTTTCCCTCCCAGGAAGTGCCCCTGGTGACAGTGGCCGAGTTGGGCGAGCGAGCACGACCTGGCTTAGGCACTGTGGATTGCTGAAGTTTTAGCGATCTCCGGAGGTAATCTTCATTGATTTCTATGGCCTAAGATCATAATTCTAATATGGGGGAATAAGATGGAATAAGATGGAATAAGTATCCTCATTATATCCCCGTTATATCCCCATATGATCCCCCCCCATTTTGCTGTTTTTGGATGTAAAATTTCAATGATGTTGCGCTACTGCTGAGCCCAGCAGGCTGGCACCTGGTTCTGAAGGATGACATCCTCCGCTCTTATTCCTCCCTGTGCCGGAACGCAGTGCCACAGGCAGACCCACAGAGTGATGATCAATCAGCACATTGGGAAGCCATGGGCATTCAAGATGAAATCTATGAAGATCCAAGATGAAACATGATGGATTTTCATGGGTGTTTATAGATGTTTGGCAATATTTGGATTCTCATAGATTTTCATATGCGTTCCATCAGTTTTCCAGATGTTTCTCCTCCATGTCATGACATGGAAGTGATTTTTCTGCCCCGCAGGACCTGGCCTGGAGCTGGTTTGAGCAACTCCGCACACAGCTTCCTTGGCAGGAGTGTTTCGATGGTGTTTAGATTTTTCAGGTCTTCATTTTGGATTTCTCCTTGGTGGAAACTTGTTTGGGACCACCCAACAATGTTATCCATTGTTATAGCAGCATAGCATGTGTCGATCATGTGTTGGATTGTGATGAAACTCCATGGATTGTGCAGCTGATGGTGACCTGGTGACCCCTCTTCCAGGACCTGTCAGACTCGCGCTACCAGGAAGAGGGAAAGTACATGCCGCGCCGCACCATCTTCACAGTTTTCTCTGGTTGCAACTGCACTTACAAGTACTCAGGCAGGGTATGGCAGGGTGAACTATTTGGGTTTGTCACAGAATTGCATGGCACACACACACACATACACACACACACACATACACACACACACATACACACACACGCACAAAATGATTATCACAAATCAGCAGCATAATCATATAAATCATCTCCAGTCTCCTTCAACCAGGAATTCCAAGTAAGCGCGAGTCATCAGCTCGTGCTGATTACGTCCCTGCCCTTTGGACACACCGATCGTCGTTCCTACCGATTGAGTGATCCGGTGAATAATTCGGACTGACGCAGTGCTCAGCTTCTGGTTTCATGAACCATCATGAACCTTATCACTTGGAGGAAGGAGAAGTCGTAACAAGGTTTCCGTAGGTGAACCTGCGTGAATTTTGGCTGTGAGGGATGCTTGCGCTAAGATATCTGCTTGCAGAATTCGAGGGCACCAGATGCACATTCAACCAACCCTTGTTGGGCTGGTGCGAGTGTCTATTTGACACTTCAGACGGGCCTATTTTTTTGGACGCCCAGAGATGCTTGCCAGGTGTGGCAGTGAAGCCCACAGTGGAGCCCGACTTTGTGGCCAGAATCCGCTGGCGGCCAAGTTGGATCCTATTTTAAAGCAGATATTTGGCTGGGAAATGTTCATCAAAAATGCGGGTCTCAATCGGAAAATCATGGAACATCATTCAAACCAAGTGTATCAAGTGAAGAATTTTTGAGTTAGCCATCTCTGATTGCCAGCGTTTCATTGCGACCCATTGCGAGGTGAATACTGCGTTGCGGTCTCTGGGCTGCCCACCCAGCCCAACTGCTGCAACATCAATTTGTATCGAAACTTGGACCTGACCTGGTGCGAGTCTGTGTCGGCAAGGGATCAAGCCATGGCACAGAATGAAAACAAACAACATACCAGAATTGGTGTGTGGGACTCCCCTACATATTTGATGGCAACACCTTACTCTCCCATCAATTTCCTTTAAAACAGGCTAATTTGCTGGATCCAAAACAATGGTGAGCATGGACGTCCCATTGACGTCCCGACGTCCCCAGAAGTTCCCGCCGCAGCCAAAAATGACTGTTTTCAATGAGGAGACGGACGTGACTCTGTTGGGTGGCATACCGACGATGAGGACTCGTTTTGATGGGGCTGTCAAGGTCTGAAAGATGGGACAGTCACGTGCAGTCACAGCAGGAACTCTTTGAAGGGGGCTACAATGACATTTGCATCCTCAGCTTGTCACTGGGTGCGACCAGAACTTTTGAGGCAAGGAAGCAGCACGATTCAGCACGATTTTCTTGTGAATTTAGCACTCAAGATGGTAACGGGTTTCGAAACGACATCTGGCTATCACTGCACTTCAGAAGCAATGCAGAGAGAGTTCTGTTCAGCTGGCACGACACGCGACACGATTCAAAGATATTCCAAGCATAAGGTCTGCGAGTGGTGGGCGAATCGAAACCTACCCTCAGGTTTTACAGTAGTGCTCCAATGGGATATAGGATCTTAATCTTAGTCTTAATCTTAGTCTTAATGGATCTCAATGATAATTATTCACAAGATTTCACAAGCCCAAATTTCAGTGTCCCTTGGGGCCATGGCATGCGGTGGCAGGTGAAGCACCAGCCGGGCATTGCAGAACCAAGACGGAGCCACAAAGGTCCAGCAGAGACCTCTTTCGTGGTGAGGCGCGGTCGGTTTTTTTGGATGTCTCATGATGTCTCCATTCAAACGGGAACACAATGGGGGACGGAATGTCGGATAATCATTGATACTGGGAGATTGGATGATATTTGAATCTTGCTTGGATTTGTGTGTTGAATGTTCGATCTCATCATGCTTGATATGCTTGTATCTTGTCCAATTTTTGATAGTCTGCGAAAACTTTAAGCACCAGATACCCTCTGGTGTCATCAAACAATGCTACCCTTTACAACATTTACAAGGAGATGTTCATGGGAAAATCACCGAACTAAATGGGAACTTTTCCACGAGCGATGTTTGACTACCGGAGGGCGTGAAAGTTGGATGGTTGGATGATTTTGTTTGGATTTGAATCCAACATTCAAACAAGTTCATGATATCTGGAACATATCTGGATTTATTGAACTATTGGGATATATTGAGGTATCCCATGCACTGTCTTGGATGCTTTGGACATCTGAATGAGCGAACTCTTTAAAATCCAGCCTTCCTGGCAGGAATGGCGACATTTGCACCATGGAGGGAAAATTCCAACGTGCCTTGCTTCATGATGAGAGGGGTTGTGCAGCGCTGAACTGTGCACCTTGATCCCTGACATGAGGCCACTACCTACATGCAGTGCCAAAGGACCAGGGTGGCATATCCAGTCCAGTGGCCTACATTTTTTGATGGTTGCAGCGATTTATGCAACCTTTGGTGACTCGCTAGGGCCCCCAGCCGCGACTTTCAGGAGCCATCTGTGAGAGAGGCAAGGATCAACTTGACCTGGAGATGGATCACGAAGCACAATCAGGTCGATGGATGTCCCCTGTGTGGACCTGGAAACTCCCGAATGCCTTTAACGCCATCTTTATGCTGATGCCACCAGAGCTATCAGACCAAATCAGAGACCTTTGACAACTTTGACTTTGTTGAGCACTGGTGGAGCGTACCTATGCTGCGATTCACTGGTGCGTCTAAAATGATGTTTGCATATATGGTTGCCCTTTTCCCGAAATGTAAGACGCCACAAGGCGTCCCATGGCCATTTTGAGCCTCCACAATTGAAGGTAATTCATGCTCCTCCTTACTGTTTTCCTCAGTGAAGCTCAACACGCCTCACATGCGAGAAATGGAAGGGGAATACTGCCCCAAACAGAACATTTACTTTCAGAATACCAACACGACTCCAGCTGTGTCATGTTTTTTTTTTTCTCGCATATAGAGGAAAACTACAGCTACATTGTGGTACTGCTTCTTGCGAGCGCTTTGTAGCTGGCAGGCTGACTAACGGCTGGTCATTGGTGTGGCAGAGTTTCCATTTGTAAGGTGAAAACAAGATACTGAAACTGCTGCCAATTGCCAGCCGGGAGCCAAGCAGGTAGGAGACTGGAAGATGTGATGACCAAAAAGAAGCCGTTTTGAGTTGATCAATCAAACCCTAGGGGCTTTTTTTTGGCCCTAAGGATCCTAAGGTAGCAAAGCCTTCTGCAAGTATAAGCCATGGTATCCATTAGTTATCTATAGTTATCTCATGTTATCTCCCAGGTGGTGTGTTTACTTTGAGGTCACTGCCCACTCCAGTTGCGGGATCGTCCCAGTATCACTTTGAGCAATGCTGACCTGCTCGGCTTTAGCTTGACTGCTGATCTCCGTGAGATGGCAATGGAGCGAGAGAGAGAGAGAGAGACACACACACAGATAGATATATTATATATATACAACTTATATAAATAATACACATCGTTGTATATGTCACCCGAACTGGCCCCCTGGTGATATATCAATTGTTGCATCCACTGAAACTTGATCATCTTGATCCCTTCGCCGATTCAGACTGCTTTTGCCAGGAGCGGAGCGCATCAGAGCTTCAAAGCTTTATGGCATGCCAGCCACAGTTGCTGAGACACTGCAGGTGGGGAGCTGAACAGTCAACCATGCCACTGGTGATTAAGGCCTAAATGGCTACTGGAAGGGTTTCTTGATCACACTTAATCATACTCACCATCCAACCCTATAAGGGGCTTAAGCTTTTCTCTTGGGGTCGTAGCTTTGGCTGGTGGCAGGCAGCTTTGGCAAAGAGGGAAACCCTCCCAGGACGAGCTGGGCCCTCAGCCCAAGTGGATTGATAGTGCATATCTATACATATCTCAGATCTCCATTTGATTCTCTCCGTTTTTTTTTTGATGCACGAATACACGTTGCAAGATTCTATAAGTGATGTATATTCATCTCCTTGGAATGGGTTGAAGATGTTGAAGCAAACAACAACCATATTTTCACTTGCCGCATCCTCATGGCTGGTCCAAAGCTGCACCCAGGAATGGTTCCACGCCCCGACTCGCAGGAAATTCTGCCATTTGGCAAAAACAGAAGGGGAAGAAGATGCAGAATTTCCATGTGTTTCACGTGCACTCATGTGTTAAATGATATCTACATGCACACACACACACACCCACCCACATACACACACAAAGATGTAACGGCGTGAAGTGTATTGGTATACAAAAAAAAAAACATGTACAATGTAGACTTTTTGTGCCAACATACATGCCGTGAAGGTCGCTCCGCCTGAGCAACAATTCGGGAAATCCATGGTACAAAATTGGGGGGTGTTGGACATTTCAAGTGAAGGGTGGCAGTCCAGCCATGAAAACTTCGCTGCTTAGGTGGAAAGTCGCCGCAAGGGCCACACAAGCAGCGAAGGCATCCGAGTGAGTTGATGATGTTGATGGATTAACCCTTTCTCCATCAGGCAACACCCGTAGAAACATGTAGAAACCATGGTTTAGCATTGGATTTGATTTGATTTAAGGTGATTTATTAATCCTTGGGGCCCACAATGGGGGTATATTGGGTGGTCATCCATAGGCAGTCATAACCCACTAGGCTTCCCATTGCACAACGGATGCCATGTTTGGGCCATGGCACAGGTCACTGGGCACAACTGGTGCTGGATAAATCACCAATGTTTCGCCAATGCTGGGCCAATGCTGGATTTGCCAGGCGACCCATCGCGAATTGATGCCCTGAGAAAGGTGGGACGATGGGAAATTGATGTGGGAAACCCATGGGAAAGCCATGGGAAAGCCATAAGAATCAAATCATCCCATTAACCAACCAGTTGGGGGTGAGCACAGCTCATCCCAAAAGAGGGGTATACCATGGTATACCATGATGGTTTTTCCCCATAAGAACCCCCACAAGACTATGATTGGAGATGGTTCATCATTGGGTTTACCACATTATTGATGTGGGAAGCCAAAACCGAGAGATCAGCATTGTCTCTGTTGCAGGCTGCGGATCGCATTGCTTGCGCCAATGGTATGCCTGAGTCAGCCGCGAAACAGTAGCCACGGCAGCATGGGAACTGTTGCAGATCTGCCAAAAGGTCCAGCTTTGCACTTTTCCTTGGCATGAGTTGACTGGGGACTCAGGCCAACTACAAATGGTGACCATGGTGGTTGTGTGTTGACGTGTGTTGCTTCAGTTGTTTACGGATGCTCCTTGGGGGTTGTACGGTTGTTAGGGGGCCATGAGCTGATGGACGAACCAGGGTGAGGAAGATTGAACACCAGACATGCACAAAGATCACAAAGAGTCGCCCAGGTTGAGGTTTCAGAGGATTTCCAAGGAGTAGGACGCATAGGCATAGAAGTCAAAGAAGGCGCAATCACTTACTTGCACGTGACGGAACGTAATTCAACAATCACAGGGTGTTGAAACAATTGAGTTTCAGCAGAGCAGAACAAGACCAGACCCTTTTTTTTGATTATGTTTTTGCGAGCATCATGCAGGACAGCCCTCTATTTGGGGTACAAATTCATTTCTTCCATTTTTTTCCCGGATTTGTTTTTTTTCTTCATACTAAACATATTAAACTTTAACCAATGGGATGACGGGTGACGATGCCTTGGCTTTGGAGAACTGGCGCCTAGCAGCAGAGCACAGCCCTCAGGGATCCTCAGGATCCTCAGGGTCGATGTCGCTGGGTAAACATGGGATGGCAGATAATGGCAGTCTTAATGGGGAAACATATGGGGAAAAAACATGAAAACCATGGAAGAAACATGAAAACAGATGAAAACAACTAGGTGTTGAACATTCTTGAAATATTGGAGAGAAAGTCAGATGAAAGAATGCTGACAATGCTGATTTAATGAGAATGACCTAGGAATACTATAAACTGTTCATCAGCTTCAGGAGTATCATGCGTCAACATTCAGATGATGCTGGAGGAATTGTTGAACCAAGCCAGTCACCAGCACACCAGGCTCTTCAGCAAGGAGATTTCACAGTGTCGCGATGGCTTATCTGCAGGCCCTGTGAGAATAGGGCGAAGTAACTTTTCTCACCAAATTTTGGCATAACAAAAAGAACATGGTATAAGAGTATGGAGACAGAGGGATAAGAGTCTACCCAGAAAAATGAGGGATGTAAGATGGTGTAAGAATCTGTAAGATGGATAAGATGGTTTGACCAACCTTTCAGATCCATTTAGGTGTCATGAGCTGTGGCAAGTTGTGGAGTGCATGTTCGCCGCCGGTCACTGCCCAAAGTTTTGGAACGCCAACATTTCGAAGATTTTAGGTTTGGACATGTAACCAACAAAAGACACCAGAAAAAACAGCAAGTCGATATCAAATTTGATAAACAACATACGTGTATAATCGCATGCATGTATATAAAACACAAACACACACGCATCTATACTATATATATATATAGAGAGAGAGTGTGTATGTGTCATATAGTTAATCTGAATGTGAGGTACTCAGATGCGATGTGATGTGACATTCAAGTTGAGTGCTCTATCTCTCGCGATGGCTGATGTCCTGGTCTCCTTCAAAAAGATCACTGGAGAGGTCCATCAAGTGAAGGTCGATGCCCAGGACGCAGCATTCCAACGAACCCCGACCCCAGAAAGATAGAACAGTTAACGGCAAAATTTCCACATTTTCCATGCTCTATCGATTTGGGGGTTGCTATGATTCTCTCTCTCTCTCTCTCTCTACACACACAGATATATATATATATTATATTATATTATATTATATTATCTATATATATGTATGTCATAAAGTGGTAAACGTTTTGGAAGGGCAAACTAGTAGAATCTTAGCAGAATCCTGATAGGCAGATATGTTTAGCTTCCATTGATGTGGCTGCATGGTTCATAAAGAGGACACCATCAAGGAGGTGAAGCAGAAAGCAGCAGAGGAGCTGAAGGTCCCAGCAATTTGTCAAGAGTCCCTTGGCACATTCCAGTGATTTAATCAGGAATGCTGGTTTTATATGGAGTAAAGACCAACAAAAAAAGGACGAAGAAAAGCAACAACATGGGATTATGATGTGGTGCGCGCCCAATGCCATAAACAACTACCATGTGGGCCTCATGCGGGGATGATTTTAATTTTATAAGCATCCATTTATGGTTCGTACTGGCTATGGTTGATTGGGTTTACCACAATTAATGATGTTAAATGATGGGAGTCATGATGTCTTCTTAGGGATGCACAAGGATGCTCATTTGAAGTCATTTGTCCCTCCACCTTTGCTGAAGGCTGTGGCTGGAGAATGCCAGTGAGCAAGTGGCCAAAAACTCTGTTCCAATTCTGGCGTGGCTAATGACTGATGGCACCAGCCATATGGGTCACAATCAGGAACTGACAGAAGTGCTCGCTTTTCGGCGCCCGCTGCCAGATTGCATCAAGCAAAGCACCGGAATTGAAAGTCGAAGGAATACCATTTCGGAATACCATTGGAATACCTAAGTGTATCTAACTGTGCTTATCTGTGCTTGATGCTTTGGATGGCGTCACAAGGGCTCATGCTATTCCCGACCAAGGCCTTCCGGGGTGCTGGGATGCATCAAGGTGGTGCTGAATTTGTTGGTGGCCAGTAGCAGGATGCAGGTGGACTCCAATGAGCTCGTCGAAATCCATGTAAAGGGCAACTGGCCCCTTGTTCCTGAGTAAGTGGCCCCATGTTTTATTTTTGGGTTGCTTTTTGTCACTTAGGTATATCACACATACATACATATATATATATATATATGTATGTATATATATACATATATATATACATAAAATGTTATATATGTTATATATACATAATTTGTTATATATGTTATATATAATATGTTAAATATGTTATATATACATATTTTGTTATATATGTTATATATATAATATGTTATATATGTTATACATATGTATACATATGTATGAGCCACGGTCAAAATGGTTGAAGACTACTTTCGTATTGCAGGAGTTTTTTGTCAGAGATGTGCACGCAACACTGTAAAGCGATAGGGCCTCCCCCAAAGGCGATAACCTGGGACCATACACGACAGTCCAGTAAACTTGGCGTAAACCAAGCAAGTACAGCCCGATGTACTCTTGTACACATTCAGAACGGGCCGGGCAAAACCGATGAGGGAAATTCAACCTGTGGTGCCCTGTTTCCTGCAGTTATCATGGCATTTGGCATCCAACTCGTTCGCTCTCTCTCTCTCTCTCTCTCCCTCGCGCGCTCTCTCTCTCTCTCTCTCTGTCGCTCTCTCTCTCTCTCTCTGTCGCTTTCTCTCTCTCTCTCTGTCGCTTTCTCTCTCTGTCGTTTTGTGGCAAAATTCCTTCTAGCAATGTCACATGTTGGAGGGGTTATTTAGCGATAACCTTAGCGATAACTTAGCGATAACCATTTGTTGCACTTGGTTCCCTGGCCAAGCCATGGAGCCATTTCCATAACTTTAGAAAGGACATGAAAGGACACGAATGCAAAATGAAAGGAAAATGCGTGCAAATGAAAGTAAGATGAGAGGACATGAATGCACATTGGAATTAAAATGAAAGGAATATGAAAGGAACATGAATGGAAATGAATAATTGCATATGACAGAAACATGAAAGGACAATGAAAGGAAATGAATGCACAATGAAAGGAAGATGCATGCAAATGAAATGAACATGAAGGAAAATGCATCCAAATAAATGCAACCTCAAAGGAACATGAAGTGTTGCCGAAGCACCTGAAACCAACGAAACAACTGCTCGATCCATTTCCGAGCCTGTTAAGGAATGGATTTTGGTTTCATGTTGGATCTCGAATATTGATTTCCACAAAACTCTGGAAAGCGATAGGGGCCCCCCAAAAGCGATAACCATGACAATAGCAACTACTCAGATGTGAATGTAAAGGATTTTGACGGGAGCTCATATATACTGTATATATATATATATATATCTGTGTGTGTATGTGCATGCGTTTGCTTTGACATGGGAACAGTGAAACGGTGGAGCAGTGAGCAGCAGTGCTGGAAGGTTCCAATGATGAAGATTTGCCTGAAAAAAGGAACAAGATGAATTTCAGCAGTTCACAAACAAAACAACAGCTCCAAATGCAATGCAAGGATTGCTCAAGCCAACTTTCATCTTAGGTTAGTTTAGGGTGCGTTCTCGTTAAGGGTCTTATTGCTAAAAAAAACAGCTCGGCTCGGAAACCTCGAAAATCCCAACAAATCCTTTGAGGATCTTATTAATCTAATGTGGGATTTTCATGGTTTTCACTGAGTTTTTGACAGGATTTTGATGGGATTTTCACAGGGTTAGGGCGCCACCTGGAACTTGTATGTCCCAATGGTGTTCATTAATTGCTTACTGCTGAAGCTAATGTAATGGTGGTAAGCCATTTGGTTGAATAATTATCAAGAATCTAAGCATTTTTAGATTTAAGGTGAAAGAAATGTTGGTGAAGGAAGGGCAGGGTTTTGTTTCAGTAGGAGTTGTTGAAAGGAATTGATGTTGAATGCTTGCTGGCTGCTTTCCCAATTTTTGGGATGTTGTTTTTTTTTGTAAGATGTATGTGGGGTTTTGCCAGGGTTTCTTCTTGGGGTTTGCTTGTTGGGATTTGTGTGGGGGTTGGTTCCTCTTTGGGATTTGGATTGTTTTTTTGTGTTTGTGGGATTTTGGGAGTCCCTTATGAATATTATGGATTTTAAATTGCTTGGGTTTGCCGGTTAACCTAACAATACAATAGAGCATGTATGCGCGGACAAACAAAAAACAGCATCCTATAGGTAAACTTCACAATTCCATGGTGCATTGCGGTGTAAAACCAAACCACACATATCCATGCACTTTCCACTCCACGAATCAACCCAAAGCACTGCAGAAAAAAAAGGCCACTTGCTCAGGAACCATGGGCAGCCTCCTCCCAAAATCTTCCAAGATCCTGACTTGAAAGACGGTGATGATGAAGTGGTTTGGCACAATTGCTACTTGGCCCTGCGGAATTGAAGGGCAATTGAACAGTTTGCCATGGAAGATTGCAATTTTTAAGAGGTAAATCATCGAGCTAAATCAGCCGTTTTCCATAGGCTAATTGGATTAACGGAGGGTATCGGAAACGGAAGGCAAGAAAAACATCAAACAAAGTATATATAACAGTGTAGCCTTGCAGAATCCAGAGCATATTTATGCATTTTTTATCTAGTTTGGTAATAGGTGATATGGAATGATTATGGAGTGAACAAGTTAGCATGCAACATGTAAAACAAACAAATTCACTTGGGTTGAAACCTGAAACCATTCAGAAGTGCAGCGTGCCATATGAGGTGGGGCATTTCTTCGCGGCTATAAGTTCATTGAAGCGGTCCAAAATTTCTCGGAGGATATTTGCAACCACAGGTTGACCGAAAATGAGGTAAGGGGCCGTCGGTGGGTTTTTTGCTTAAATTTATTTCACTCGTCATCCAATCCTCTACAGAAATCATTTCTTAATAATTCATAGATAAAATCATGACATAGTATCTTTCGCTTGCGTGTTGACCATGCCACGCCAATCTTTCCACACCGATCTCTATTTCCATGCATACTGCGTTTGCAAGTCTATTTCTGTCAAACCCGGATGGTTGAAAGGTCAATGCTGCACAAAGCATCATAGACGAGATGGGTGCCACGTTTTCGTACAACTACCTTCGTACACGCAGCGTATCTGGGCACCAACCAGCTCATCAAAGTTGCTTTGGGCAAGCAATGTAGCCAGAAATACCCCAGTGGTTTGAAGGTGGTTTTGTATTGTGTGTTTGTTTCTCACCGTTTCTCCAGGTGCCAGTCCATTTTGCTTTCATCAAGGTTTGTTCCCTCGTCAATGAATGGCAAAGAGCAACCCCATCCACTAAGGCTCAAAAGAATGTCTGAAACATATTGAAAATATTTTTAAAAGTATTGAATTGGTTTCCCTACTTTTTGATACCTTAAAGATATTTAAAGATCCTCCGGCAAAACCATGCAAAACCGACCTGCACACTCCTCCGGATGCTTGAAATCTTGAGGCATTTTGCGCCTCGCTTGCTACCTGGGCCTTAACTGGCCTAGAGCTGTATCGCATGCTGCATTGGCAAGGAGGATCCATGCAATTGAACGATGTCTTCCCCCTCAGCGCTTACACTTCTGGCATTTTATCCCCAGGCGACCCCTTGGAGCTAATGCTAGTAGTGGACAGTGAAAAGGTCTTCGCAGAATTGGAGGTCTCCGGTGATTTGACAACTGCGTTTGAGGCACTTGGCATGGTTGGATCCAACTTCCCTGAGCGAACATTGAAGGCCGTGGCCAGGAGCCTCACGAGAAAGAATGAGAGCAAACTTGCACTGGAGGCAATCAAAAAGGTATGGCAGCCTGATGATGACATGGCTGCCAAGCTGGATGATGAGATCCCCAGCTTCTATCGTGAACCCTTCGGTAGACAAGATCCACTGGAAGCTTTAGAGTACCTTGGGTCCAGACATCCGAGACTATTGGCTCGGGTTGCGACTGGCTTACTCACTGGCAGCACCAAGCAGGAAGAGGATCAGCAGTTCTGTTTGCAGATGTTCAACCGGCTGCAATCAGAGTCAGATAGTAGCTATGTGGTGGAGTGTGTAGTGAAGGCACTCTTCCATCCCACGATGGAAAGGTATCCGCCTAATCCGAATCTGCATGTTTTGGAAGCTTTCCAGACTGCAGCTGCGAGAGATTACGCCGCTGCTGTGAATAGCATTGTAGAACGCCTCAGGCCATCTGAAGATGCCTGGGTGCGATGCCTTGCTGCCGCCACCGCGGCAAAGTTTGCCACCCGGGAGGACGAGAGGCTGGTAGCAGCTTTCCGCGAGTGTTCGGACGCAAGGCTCATAGGGACGCTTGGCACGGCTTGATTGCAAGTTACATCCCTCACAGGATCCCAAATTATTATTTTCAGAGGGATATTGGGCTCGGCCACACAGAAACAACACCAATAATAGAGAATAATGTATAATGATACATAGACATATACAATCATATGCATGTATAATATCATATATAATATCATATATAATCATATATACATAATTATATATAGTCATATGCAATTATGTATTATACCTAATTAAGTCTATATTATACAGTATAGAGAGAGAGAGAGTATTTGTGTGTCAAAGGGTGTGATTTTAGTGATCAGTATTTGTTTAATTTTGTTTATAGTTTGTTGGAGTTTCACTGAGGAAATATTTTTGTGTAGTGGCCATCTCCTTTGGCGAGATCTCCAGCTCCGCAAACCCCTTCATCCCCTCATTGGCTGCCAGCCTCCTTGAAGACTGGGAGGACGACACGCAGAGGCGATTGCTGGCCACCCTAAAGCAGTTGAATCCTGTCAACGACGAAGATGTCGCTTGAAAAAAAGAACATCTTTAAATATATATTTTTTTGAACGTGTTTTACATTGTATGTTGAGATTTCAACTCAATGTGGAATGGTGATTAGTAAATATCAGTAATCCTCTCCCCCCAAATAATGAACACCTCAGGTAGTTTTTATTATTGGGGGGTATTTGTTATTAGGGAACCAAAGCGGACCCTAATAATAAATTAAAACCCTTGATCAAAATTTTAAATCAATTAAATTTCCTTTTATACCGCAATTAAAATATGGTCAAAAATTGGATTTCGAAGCGGATCCTAATAATAAATTTTGAACCTTAATTTAAAAAACTAGAATTTTCGGACGGACCCTAATAGAAAAACACCCCGGGGTTGACTAGTTTTTATTATTATGGGGTAAAACCAACAAATAGTAGCTTTATTTTTAAATTGTTTTCTAAAGGGGATCAATTACAAGTTAAATTGGCCAACCTGAAATTTTCCAAAATTGGAGATGGACCCTAGTTTTTAATTTTCGGGGGGGTTAGTAGTACGGGGAAGGGATGATTTACCATGACATTATCAATGATATTGTTTATAGTACTATAATATACTATAACATCGAACAGTACTTAACTCATATGTTATTGAGATAAATTGCACGTACAACCCAGGCCATATCTACGTTGCTGTCGTTCATGAGCAGTTGCCAAAGATCTCCAGAGTTGCTGAAAGCTGCGGAGCTGGTTGACCAGTTGGCCCAAGCTGATCGATCACAGGTTTCCAAGGCTTACGCCTTGCTGATGGAAAGCTGGGCGCTGAAGCTGACCCAGCCAGGGAGCATAGGTAGAGGCGACCAGAATAAGAAACTGGAAAGTATCCTTTTAGAAATAGCGGAGGCACAAGGCGGTGCTGGGATGCCAGTTCTGGGCAAGCTGATTGATGGCTTCTCAAGTTCCATTGGGCCGCTTAGAATCTAGGCATTTGCAAATTAGTGCAGTTTCCAACTTCAATATTTGATGACACTGATAGGTGCTATTTATTCGAAAAAATCCAACGCATGCAGTGTGTCTTTTCACGCTCTGACATCCATTTTCATCCACTGCTATTGCATGATAGATATGTTATATAATATAAGTTATATATATATATTTATGATATTACATGCAGTTTTTCTTCTTTTGTCATTTGAAACTTCGAATTTGAAAGGACTTCGCTGCAAAGAGATATTGGTGAAGATCAGGAAATCGGTTGACGCAGACATTGTCAAAGCGCTCCTGCAGGTTATCCACGAGCGGATTAGCATTCCAACCTGCTGCCTGGCCATCCATGCCATAAAATCCACAGCTTCTGAAACAGAAATGGAACAAGTGACACCGAAATTCCTGGAGCTTCTGAAAGTCGAAAAGGATTGCTTTGTGAAGTGTGCCCTTTTGGAAGCCTTGCGCAGCAAGGCGCTGGATCCCCAAGTTAGCACGCTGGGAATGCAGCTCACACAGGATCCTGTGGACACTGTGCGTTTGGCTGCCCTGGAGCTGTTGATGGACCAGACTGCCATGGATGGTTTCATGGCCATGCTGCTCCGGTGCATGAAGGACCCCTCCTTCTCGCTGAGCCAGCTAGCCCTTGTGATCGTGAACTCTTTGCCAGCCGAAGACATTGACACCGAAGAGATGGCCAGGGAGGTTAGTCAGTTGCTGCTTCATCCTGATGCAAAAATCCGATTGGCTGCAACTGAAGCTCTGAGCAAAATGGGAAGTCGCGGCAAGAGCATTGCTCTTTCAGCGCTATCAGCATCAGGGCCATGGCCCGAACTGGACTTGGAAGTCCGACAAAAAAGAGATGAAGCCATTACAACCTTACAAGCATGATTGAAATATTGCAGCGGGTCGTTCAAGCCCCTCACTCCGCTGCAGGAGAACATCCCATGTTCACATGTGGGCATGTTAATTATTGTTAATTCAAGACAGACATTTCTCCACCAATCAAGTGTTGTTCAAGTACGCCGTGATTTTGAGTGCCAAACCATTTTACACCATGTTATGTCACATATTGCTTTGAAAGATGGTGGACTGCTGATGTTTGTCATGGAACATTCGTGCTGTTTATCATTGTTCCACGGGCAGTTTGCACTTTGCCACTGGATGGTCATGAGCGCCAGCTTTGGCCTGATAGTAATAATTATAATGATTTAGTTTTGCGCCAATATGTGTGTATATATATATATATCATACCACCCGCCAAGCAGGGTTGGTGCGCACACCTTTGAACCACCTCCGGAATCGGAGTGTTCCGTTCAACTTACTCCCAGCTGCAGGGTCTTCCAAAGCTGACTACCGCTGCATGGCATGCGTCTCAAAACACTGGCGGCTCAACATCACTCTCACTTACTTGCCACCCCAAGCAATTGGACGGTCATTTGGACCTATACTTGGTGATCTTTGGTGATTTCTTGTGACTTTTGATGCATCTTGGCAGGCCAGATCGATCTGGCAGCCTTCTGTTCCAATCTTTCTGGTCGCAGCGTTGCCTTAACAGAGATGGGCCGTGCGAGAGGGCAGTTGCTTGACAACCCATGGTGCGTCATGGTGCCATGGTGTTTTTCTCAATTTTTCTCCAGATCTATGGGATCACTTTGTGGATTCCAATAGACAATCCCTGATCCCTGGCAATGCTGGATGGCCAACTATTTACTACATTTTACTACCAAGCATGGGTATGTATGGTTGCTATATACCACGGTTACATGTGGTTATTTGTTTTGCTCATTTGTGCTCTGAGGCTAGATGCCCAGCCAGCCGTTTTGAAGGCGGGCATCACGGATGCCCGTGCTGCAGCAGGTACCTCAGAAGCTCCAGGGATTCTCCAGGCCTAGCCAGCTATTGATTCATTGTATGATATTATAGAATATTATAGATATATAGTAATACTCTATTTACTGTAATATGTTTTAATATATATATATATAATATATATATATATGTAATATATATATATATGTAATATATATATATATACGGGCGTTGTAATTAGTTACTATGCTAATACTGCCCGTTTTTTTCATCTGGGGGTTGCTATGGGTTACGATTTTAGCCACGATAGATGGATGGATAGCGTCTATATATATAACCAAGCAGTATAACGGGATCGCGGGATGGGAGTTGAGTGCTTTTCATGGTAATTAAACATAATTAAACAGAATGCTAAATCTTGATGAATGATGTAGGATGAAAGCCTAGACTTCAAAGCTCTCGAAACGGGATTGCAACATTTTAATATATAATCGATCCACTAATTTCCAGGGATGACTTCCCTAAGGTGTCCTTGGCCCAGCGTCTTGCTGCAGCCGACGGAAAGCTCGTGCTCAAAGTAGTTGGCCACCAAGCCAACCAGGCTGCCAATGTGTTGACAAAGATTTCAAACATTTCTTTGATGCCAATCGCAGCACAAGGGCCTCCTGTCAGATGTGAGCTGCGGTTCCGTTTGGCTTTCCAGGTCTGAGAATGCCGCTGTGTGACATGCAGCATGGATCGGCATTGCATGTTAGGCATTTTTCTTTCACCCACTCTGCCCCTGTCAATGGCATTCAATTGCAACATAAGAGACAAAATTGGGCGAGCGCTTTGATCCTGTAGGGCATTTGGAATTTCTAACATCCCGTCCCTACTCCGGAAAGACAACGGCAGTTAGCTAGATAGCACGATATAGCACGTTTGCATATTTTTGCAGACCATCATGAACAATTGAAATCACCACCCAGGACTTGCTTCAAGAAAGACTTTGGAACGCATATATTTTTGATGGCAGAAACATGCGAAGATGACACTGGTTTCATTTCCATCCATTGACACCAAGAGCTGCAGAACTGAAATCGCCATGGAGCTTGATGGCCGTGGCGCTGTGATGTTGACACTGCTGGTAGCAGCGCTAGGCCTGCCATTGTCAGCATTTCTGGAAGCAGAAGGGAATTGCTGGGAACTTGTGCCCAAAACATGAGAAATTGGCATGTTTCCAGCAACTAATGGATTATTGTCAGCATCATCAGCAAAAGTGGGGATGTGAGCGGTTTCAAATATCCAACGAAGTTGGGGGACGTATATTATACTGTAAGTACACGCAACTATGATGATGTTATGCGTGGTTGTGTCGAATATGTTTATATATTATATTATATACAATATATATATATATATAGATATTATATTAATTATATATATATATATATATCACAAAAATTTGGACCCCCCCCCCGAACCCCCCCCCTGGCAAAAACATGCCAAAACTAACCAGTGGTAAGTGACACATAGAGGTAGGAATCTAACATGTATCTGATAAGCATCTAATAGGTATCTATTAGGAACTAATTATTTTGGCAAAAAATAGTGTGCAAATAGTGTCCAATAACGCCTAATTAGTGTTCCAAAATTCAATGGTTTCCAGTAGTGTGCCACAATGGGAACCTGCCACAAATTTGAAGCCCAGCAATCAGGCTAGAAAAATGGCAGATCCAATGCTGTAAATAGTTTACTTCCTGTCAAACTATATATTTAATTCTTGGAATGTTACACACATGATGTAGGACCATGTATGATTATGTATGTAGGACCACGCCCATGTATGAAATCAAAACCCGTTTCCACATGATTCCAATTTCGTGGATTTGTGGGTTTGGGGCTTATTGGGAACTATTTGCTAGGGGGGGGGTTTGTTTTACATGGAAATTTACAGGTAAAATGGAGGTCGACCCACATTCCACAGCAAAATTTTCAATTTTGGTGGATTTGCGGGTTTGGGCTTATTGGGAACTATTTGCTAGGGGGGGTTGTTTTACATGGAAATTTACAGGTAAATGGAGGTCGACCCACATTCCACAGCAAAATTTTTCAATTTTGGTGGATTTGCGGGTTTGGGGCTTATTGGGAACTATTTGCTAGGGGGGGGTTGTTTTACATGGAAATTTACAGGTAAAATGGAGGTCGACCCACATTCCACAGCAAAATTTTCAATTTTGGTGGATTTGCGGGTTTGGGGCTTATTGGGAACTATTTGCTAGGGGGGGGTTGTTTTACATGGAAATTTACAGGTAAAATGGAGGTCGACCCACATTCCACAGCAAAATTTTCAATTTTGGTGGATTTGCGGGTTTGGGGCTTATTGGGAACTATTTGCTAGGGGGGGGGTTGTTTTACATGGAAATTTACAGGTAAAATGGAGGTCGACCCACATTCCACAACAAAATTTTCAATTTTGGTGGATTTGCGGGTTTGGGGCTTATTGGGAACTATTTGCTAGGGGGGGGGGTTGTTTTACATGGAAATTTACAGGCAAAATGGAAATCAAATCATGTTCCGCGTCGGGGTTCTGCAGTTTTGGTGGGTTTGCGGTGGGGCTCGTTGTTTTGAGTCGGTGCTTGCGGGTGGGAAGCGGGGGGTTGGCCCGGCTGCTGTTCCTGAGCTTTTTTGTTTTTCATTCAAAACACCATTCAAAATACAATTTTATCTTTTTCATTTTTCAACTGTTTATAACGGTGTGCCAATCACTTGGCGAAGCCACGACAGTGCCGGAATCTGAATTTGGGAGCCCAGTTTCGTCGCGAGACTGCTGAGCAGAAGCGCGAAAAGGAAAGAGACATTATTTGTGCAGTGGGAGCTTATTGGGAACTTCTTGCTAGGGGGGGGGTTCAAGGGGGGGGTTTGAGCATCTGTGAATATAGAGATTTATACATATATATTTATATATTATACAATTATATATAATATATGTTTTTTTTAGAAAAAATACATATATACATATTATACATTAATATATATATATATATATACATTATACACACACATATGTATCTATATACATAAATTATATATATATATAGTAATATATATATATATATATTCTTATTGATCTTATTGTAGATATTGTACCTGGGATGATTTCAGTCTATATATTGATTTAAGGCTGTGCACACCAACCCGTAGATACAAATTACATGGCCATATCTTGTGTCCTGTCGTTGTCCCATGGGCAGACCACCATTTGCCACCATGCAGGTGTTAGCCTATGGCTGCGTTGGCGCAAAGGTGTTCGCGCAGAGGTTCAATGGCTTCAAAAAGATGTAACGGTGAGGACCGCCAAGGATGTACCCTTCTTGGTTTGCTGCCGCCCACCGCCCAAGGCGCTAGGGATCGCTAGGAAGCTGTTCTGCAATGTGGGTCATACATTTGCCAGACATTTTAAGATCATCGTTTGGAGAGTGAAACTCGGGATGTGGTGAGCTGGTTTGGCCACGCCATATCATGAAATTTACCATTCGTTTGAGTGTGAGGCGGATCTGGTCATGAACTACAAGGTGATCTTTTCCGCTACACAGCAAGTCTGTGCTGAGGGTGTTGGGTTCGTTGGGGTGGTGGACAAGGTCAACCTGTCCAAAACCGGATTTGGCAGCTACAGGCAGGGCTTGTGCATCGGTGGGGAAACAGCCACGGGCGTTTGGGATATTTCCCTGGTTGTTTTGGAGATTTTTGGAGACACTCAGCAGGGCTTGATCGATTTTTCATGAGTTCTGAGTGTGACTCAATTTGTCTCCTGTGGATCGTTTGGCTGCCCAGTTGTTCCACTCTGATGTTTTCTGCAGATCTGGAAGCAGGCTGGAAGTGCAGATCCAGAGCTTGAACCTCACTCTAAGCGCAGACATTGAGAAAAGGATCGCTTCCTTTGAAGAGGAGGCAGCCAAAGCTCGTGCCAGTCGCCCACCAAAAGAGCCAGTGCCTTGACCATACTTAGCATTACTTGGTAGGCTCAAGACGGTTCGTTGGTCGATGTTGGTCGGCCCATGAGGTGATGAAGATCCCAGGCTGGCCACAGAATTTGCCAGAAGATCCAGGAGGCAGAAGCAGATGGTTCCTTGATGTTCCTCGTTTTTGGGTTGTTTTCTTTGTGCCTTTGGTGACTGCATGATTGCGTGCATATGCAGGGCTCAAATGGGCTCGATAGATTGTGGATTTATGATGATTTGTGGCTATTGCTGATATATATATATATACATATATACGAATTAATATTTATGAATATTCACGATGATTCATGATGATTTATAGCTATTCATGCTTGGGGAAAACCACACCCCGCAGGTATCCGCAGGTCCCGAGGCTGGTCGAAGATGGACCCGAGAGGAGCTGGCCCAAAGTCGGCTTGCAGGATCATGGCTCCTGGCCGTGGAAGGATTCGTCTACGATGTTAGTTTATTTGCCACTTGGATGAGAGTTTTTTGGGGCACTTTCACCGCAGAGGCAGATACATGATGATACTAGGACTATGTTTTCCGCATGGAGACAGAGGCCGTGATTAGAACTGCGCAGCTGTTGTGCTTCGACAGGCCGACATTCACCCCGGTGGTCGGCGCAGCCTCATGCAGAGCGCGGGAGGTGATTGCACAGAAAGCTACCAGTGCCCGGGTGCAGATTGGGAGATGAAGATGTGCACAAAGACAGTTTCCCAAGCTGTTCCCCTGTCCAGCTTTGTTCAGATGCTGTTTCGCCTAGGCTGGTGCACCAGCATGTGGATCATTATTCCATCATGAAATGCGTTGCTCAGCTGAAGATGCTGAAGTGGGACAACATCACTGGTACGTTGAGGTATCCTGTGGAGATCTCTGGGTTCTCTTGGGCCCGAGGTTTGCCGTGGCAAGCTGGTAGATGCAGCGTAACCGTGGGAGAGGAGTAATTCAGTGCTGGTTCCAGGCGTTGTGTCCTGTGTGGAGCCTGCATGGTGCCAGAACTGGCTCGATCGCATCCAATTTTGATCGATTTTGCCATAGAGCTGTGGATCCGTGTTCCAACCACTTTGTGAAATTTTGTGGTTTGAACATGGCTGGACAGGGCCCGAGACTTTAATTGTGGCCAACCACCTCAAACAAAGACCTGTGGAAACAGCCCACCTTGAACTCGCGGCGAGCGAAAAAAGCATCGAGGATCCAATGCAAAGTCAGATGCATAGTGTCATATAGTGTCAAATGCGCGCGAGTGTGTCGACTGTCAAACTTTCAAACATTCTCAGCTGCAGATTCACCTGGCCTCCCCGAAAATCTCCACCAAAAGATGGGGTGCGTACTTGGAGGATCATCGGGTCATCCCGTTTATAGAAAGTGGTTGTAGAAATACTCGTAGCTTGGCCATTACATCCCCTATCCCATGGGTTCTCAAATTTGTTAGCTGCTAGCTGCGTGGTAACCTCTGTCACAAACCCTTTAAATATCAAGAAAATTAAGTTAATTGGATATTTATCATGATTTATCATGATTTATCAAATATTTTTAAATATAATATTCCCACTACAACCGTTCAGACACGATTAAAACGATGGTGTCGGACTCGATCTATGGGGGATGCGGTTGCCGAGGTGCGAGCCTTGCACAATGCCTTGGAGGCATCTGGAGAAGCAGCCGAAGAAGCGCAGCAAGCAGCTGCAGCCCTGGCAGGCAAAAATGGGGGCATAGATACAGTTGCAGTTACATGGAATGCACGCAAACAAGTTTGCACAATTATGTTTCCAATACATCTAAATATTCTATTCTGAAGATAACCCACATATACCCATATTTATGTGATTTTATGTCTCAAATTTTAATAGATTTTTGTGTATTCTACAGCCTGCTTTGCCATTCCTTGCCTTCATCCATATTTTCCAGGCTGTATTTTTAAGTCTTTGTGTTAACACCAGGCAAGTGCAGCTGCTCTGAGCTTGTGATGCAGGAACTCCAGCGTCTGGGCTCGATTAGAAAAGCTCCAGCTTTTCTGCACTATCTTCAACTGAGTAATGCTGAGTAGGGATGACATGTTCAGATCTATAACTATAATATACAGTATTATACGGCTGTGTGTGTCCATGTCGGCTTGCATTGCAGAAGGAATGCTGGCGCCAGCAAATGGACGAAATCCGGGCCGTCAGGACCGTCCAGTAGCTCCTGTTTGCTCTTTCGTGGTCCCAAAAATGGGGCCAAAAACCGGCCCCAAAAACGGGACCGCAATATTGCTGGAAGAAGGAAAAGGTTTCCAAAATGGCGGCCCCGTTTCTGGGACCAGGGGATTGCATACACAGTCAGCCCCCCTCTGTGGGCAGTGAGTAGCGGAGACTCCGGAACCTTTCGTTTGTTTTCCTCGCATTGGGCTTGACAAAACCTCATCCAAGTTTCACATTGAGGGCCCGCCATCAAGAATGCATTTTTCATATGCGGATGCGGCCCCAAAAGCGGGCCCTGGTGGCAGCGCCGTTTGAGCACAAGCCGACTGACAGCCAAACGCATTCTCCACTACCGAACTGTGAGGAACCCAATTGCAACGGATCATGGTTGGGAAGGCATGTGGTTCGAAAACAGGCAAGGGGCGTAGAACCCCATGTGGACAAACTCCAAGGAGACCACGCTACCCGAAACTATTGCTCCTCAAACCTCGTACGTCCCGATTACGCCCCCCAAACCTGCATGTAAATAAGGGATTACGTCCCTCCCATCTGTGGTTACGCCCCGCGTACGTCCCGATTACGCCCCTCCAACCCGCATGTACATAAGGGATTACGTCCCTCCCATCTGTTGGTATACGCTCCTCGTGCGTCCCGATTGCGCTCCTCAAACCCGCATGTAAAGAGGGGATTACGTCCCTTTTAGCGCTTTGGCCGTATACTATAGTATAATCCAAAGCGCGCGGACGGGATGCACGGCAACAAGTGCACGTTCTCCCAAGATGCACGCAAAACAGCTTCCTGACATAAGCGTTGTAAAGGCGGCAGCGCAAGCGGTTAGCATGGCTTCTTGCGGCCCCGGAAAGTGGACCCTTTTCACTGACTCAAAACAGCTCCTACGCGATGTACCCTCATAGTATATAATATATATATATATATAATTATATATATAACTCTCTCTCTCTCTATATATATATATATATAACATTATATAACTATATGCGTATATAGATTTTTTTATAGTTGACCTGTGAAACTGCAGATTCCTAGGCATTTTCTGTACACAGCAGTGATACTGTGGTAGCTGTCCTTCGCCACGGAGCCTTGGGCCGAGGCAACTTGCTCGTGGCATTGACACCAGAAAGCCGCTGACATGGAAAACCAGCCTGGGAATGTCTGGGACAGTGATGGAAGTTGATCCATTCATTTGTGTCATCAGATGCAAGAGTTCAATATGGATCTTGGATGATCTTGGGCTGTCAAACCCAAACTTCGTCCAAATTTTTTGCCTTATCTGAGACCAAACTACTACTTGTATCTACTTGTAAGGCTGTGTGAGGAGATGGATGCGGATGTTAATGCAGATGAGTCGCCGGGCACTTTTCGATGGCCACGGCGGATGCCACTGTTGGAATCCCAGCTGTGCCATGCCAGGGCTATAGACCATGCTGAAATCTGTGATGCGCCCCAGGCCTGCACTACCTGCTGGAAAGCCAGACGTTTCCGGAATTTCGGACGAAGGTTGGTTCGCTCTTGCCATAGCCATCCATAGCCATCCATAGCCATCCATAGCCATCTATTGCCACAGCTGGATGCAATTCCGGGCGCTTTGGAGGCTGGGGGCCATACCTGTCAGCTCCTCGGTCTGGGGTTCCTCGGGCTACCTGGCTATACCTGGTGGCTCAGGAGACAGCGAGGTGGTGAGAAGATGATTGCAGCTGCACGCAGCCAGGCGCCGTGCTAGTAGAAGACAGCGCTATGGCATGGAGGGATGGGTCGGATGGGTTAATGATGGTCGATGTATGTAAATGTCAAAGCTGACATGGCTACACTCAAGCCTCCTGACTATCGTGTGGAAAAGGTTATAGAAATACGATAGAAACGAACATGGCAAGATCTTCCAAGTATTGTTGGTACCCACTCACCCATGCCACTGGAAAGGGCGACGCGTCGGGAAATTATCTCACATGCACTTGGGGGCAAAGACAGAGAGCCAACACCAGCTTCCGAGGCAATGATGTTGGATGGCTTGTCATTTCCGCTCTCTTTGGCGTCCTTCTCAGACCCAACACTGGGACACTGCTTCAAGCACTATCCCAAGCTCATGGCACCTTTGAAATCCTTTGAATCTCATTGTCATGTTAGACATGTCCTGCATCCCAGGCTTGGATTTTGCTGCAGGAATCTGTAGTGACAGTCTCAAGATCAGATGTTTTTCCTTCGCTTCTTTTGAGAAATAAGTTGATGAAATTGATGTTTGCAGGCTTGTTTGCCAATGGCTGATTAGCATGTGCATCTGGAAGATCCTCCGCTCATCAAGCTAAGCGGCTCCAAGGTCAGTCTTCAGCAGGGCGATGTGCACGTCGTCCTCCTCGGTGCAACCTCCAAAGCAGAGGCTGCAGAGGGACATGGATTGGACATGGCGGGCTGAGCTGGTCCCAGTATGTCCCAGTCATCCAGTCATGGCAAGTGCCAGGTTCGCATCCTACAAGCGCCTGGGTTGCAGCCAAGACCTTTTGGAAAATAGACATGGCAACAGATGGCAACAGGGCAAAAGACCTTTATGACACGGTTTGCGATGGCTTGCCGTAAACCAAGGTTTATCACTTAAATTCACTTGGCAACAAGCGTTTTCCGTCGCCATGTTGGATTGCCAAGACACCGATGTACTCGTACCTTTCCATAGAACTTTCAGTTTGTTGTGCAACAGCTTGCCTTCTTTGATGTCAGTGGCTCAGGAGTCAACTTATTGGCAGGCACGGCATGTGATGGTTGCCCTCCATGTCCCTCCATGGTTGCGTAGGCCGCAGGTCATGGTGCCCCTGCCATAGTTGCGATGGTGAGGAGTTGGTGATGCTACTGGAGTCACGTTGCAACATCCGGCTGCATTTCGTGGGCCCCGACCTTTAGCTGCAGATCAACCATAAGCAATGGGTTCCCTTGTTGTTTTCTTCAACGGTGCTGGTCTTTAGCAGCATTTGGATGCGCTTCTCATGCTTTCTACACTTTTTTAATTGTTTTGTTCCTTTAGTTGAAGGAGGCTATAGATTTCCATTTTTGCTGCAAGAACGCCAGTGTTTGGGCCAAGGAGATCTCTCCAGCAAAGTCAGTTGAGAAGACTGGAGATGCTTCACTGCATGATCATTGGGGCTTAGGAGAGACTTAGGAGAGACCAATCAGTTTGCTGTATTTTTGGTGAACACTGACACGGTTGTGTCGCGGTTTGTGACCTCTCAGCCGTGAAGAGCTTGGCACTGGCTGAGGATATTCACTCGATGCAGTGTGGAGCTGAGTCTGGCATAGCCCTGTGCTGCAGCAAATTTGTGTGTTGAACCTGCGCTGGGTAGCAGATCCACTTCGTGCATGTGAGTTGGGTTGCTTTCATACTTAGGCCACCATGCGCGAAACGGTTTTTCATGGCTAGGAGCGACCTGACACCAGAGACTCTTGCCTTTGAACCATTTGTCAAGATATGTTATGATTTTGTTCCTTGCTTGTCGCAGTGCATTCCAGTTTGTCAGGTTTCGTTTGTGAAATATTGATTTTGAGTGAAAATCATTTGTTCTTCAAATAACTAAGGAATACTATTTGCGCAGTGCCTTGTTTGCAAGTAAAGATCCAGGCTGCCAACTCAGTGATGACACCAGCGTCACTGGTGTTAGGTCTTCAATGGTGGTTTCGGCAACTTCGTTTCCTCACGGCGTGATGAGCTCTTCTGGAGCTGGATGCCGGACTGTGACATCCTCGAGCCATGAGATGCCACATGGATAGAGATCCAATATAGATCATATATAGATCCAATTGGAATTCAGTTCTTTTCTATCCCTAAATTAGCCGTGTTGGCAAGGACCAAACCAGGACACCTTGCCTTTCCTCCATTCTTTTCTGGAGCATAGCTTCCATCAGAGCATCCCTTCCACAGTTGAAACCTGAAGCTTTGGGAGGACTTGCTCTTCTTAGCAGACTCGCTGGGTTCTCAGAAAGACGGCTCTGCCAGCTACAGCGGAGCAATGCTGAGCATGCCGCTGAGCTGAGGCACTTTATGTGCGTCTTCTTCTGTGCCTACGACTATGCCGACCTAAAAGGGGAGGTCCGCATCCTTTATTATCCTTTACTCCAAAAATTGCAGGATAATAAGAGATATAAGAGGCTAGGCTAGGTTTTCCATGGTCTTCCGGGATGATTTCAGTCAGCCTGAGATGTGCTTTGTGCAACTTTGCCGAAACACATTTTGGAGGTGGCAATCCACAGAGCGCTGGGCTCTTTGTTTGCCTTGGCTCCTCGTGAGGTGCTGAGATTTGCTGAGTTAATGTTGCTTAGACCTTCCATGACTTCCATTTCTTCCGTGGAAAAAACAACACCTGTCCGATTTGTCCAAGTTGGTATATTTGGTATGCATACATTGTCCCAGGAGGTGCCCGGGTAAATAACATATATGTTGCCTGCCTAGATCTGAGGGCGGAATCCGTTCGCCATGGCCACGGTGTACTCGGGGGAGGTGGCTGCAGCTATAGATTCTAGATGCAGCTGGCGGTTTCAGTCTTGGCAGACCTTGGCAGGATGACTCTGAATGGTTCTCCGGCAACTCCTTCATGTATGCTACATGTGGGAGCCAGCAGCTTGGCAGCAGTTCGTTGCGAGACACTGCAATTGTTCACGTGCGGAGCTTGGGCGCCCCGATCTCGGCATGTGGCCATTGCATGCCATTGCTTCGAAAGCCTGCCATTTCACCACTCAGGAAATCAGTTCGTCACCCTGCGATGATCTTGGCCGCAGAGGTTGCGGGATCGTGAAGGTGTTTGGGATCGTGAATTGTCACTTCCCAGAATTGGATGAACGGTTGCCAATCCAATGATCATTGATTCAACCAAGCATGGGCTACAGTAAGTATAAATAGAATTGAACAAAACCTTGAAATTGGATAATGTTGGATGAACATGGATGAACTCTATTTGAGAAGATGGAGAAACCACCAAGAAAACGGGCCGTGGGTCTAAGAGATGTTATGTATCCGTTCAGGTTGAGTATTGTTGATCCACTTTGTATGTACAACGTACAGGTTGCTTGGTGGCGTGTGTTTTGTTCTCTTTTTTCTAGAATTCAAACATCGAAACATAAGCACAGCCGAGGCCTCCGACAGACCGCAGCTCATATCCGCAGCCGGTGCCTGAACTACCCGGACCGGTAACGTAAGATGATGTAAGATGGAAGTGGATGGAAGTGGAGGATCCATCACATATCATGTGCCGCCAGATATCACCATCTTGACTTGCACATACTTACACTCTGATGTGTGATGATAAATTGATGATATACGAATGATGATGATGATATATATATATATTATATCTATCATTATTTTCCAGCTCAGTTTTTACAGACATTTACAGACACACACACACACACATATATATTATTATTATTAATATTATTATTATCATTATTATTATTATATATATATTCAGTGATATGTGATGGTATTTGATGATTTACCACGGAAAATGGCCGCTTCCCACTTCCGAGTGAGTTAATGATTCAAGGGGTACATCAACAGCGCATGGGACCAATATGTCCTGGGGTGCCCTGGGAACCTCGAGAAACCATGGGACATTTCGGTGGTGGCCAAAATGGACCGGTTCAACATCCAAGAAACACAACACAACTGCAGTGCAGCAGTGTCCAATGTGATAGTTAAACGCCATGCCATCCAGCTCCAAAATTGGGCATGGTTTAAAATTTAATAAATCTCTTCCACATGTCTGATCCGTCATTGCAGGTGGATCATGGGTTTTACATCGCTGATTTCGTGATCAGCGGCATTTATCCCACATCACTTAGGGTTTACCATGAAAATTATGGAGCCAAGGCCTTGAAGAGTTTGAACAGCCAAGGTCATGAAGTTGGCCGAGGATGATGAAGCCTCTGTGGAGCTGGCAGCCCTTCCAGTTCGGCTTCATCCAAGTCCAGCGTTGAAAGAAGGCGCTTGGGCATTTGGAGTTGGGCGAATGGCTTGAAATGTGTCTTGATATTTTGGTGTTTCCACAATGTGTTGGAATAGTTAAATAGTTGGAACTATAGGGCCTTCCTACCAAAATGAAATGAGATGATTCAAAAGTAACGTGTTACATTGTGTTACCATGTGTTACCCTTACCGCAACCACAGGTGGGACTGGTTCAACTGGTGCCAGACACAACAGCAGACTCGGGGTGCCATTGGCTGCAGGCGCATCGGCCAAAGCTGCCGGCTATGCCCCAGAATCCACCCCCAGCCGCGTGACCTGCGGGTTAGGAGCTCAGAACCTGTCGCAACATGGGATAGTCCAATTGATAAATGGGGCCGCATGCCCTGCCGAATAGCAATAATTATTGTATATAGGCAAATTTGATAAGATTATAACGCCACAAGGATACATGAAGGACAATTATGATCAACCACTGGAATTTATATGAATTTATAGCAGTCAAAGCCACATGTGCTGTGCCTTGGAAGAATTGGACATCCAAGGGAGATGAAAGCCATGGAAGGTGGATGGCGCTTTGAGGTGCAGTCTGTTTCGATGACCGCAGTCAGTCTGCTTCCAAGTTGAACTTGGAGATATTTGGATAACCTGGTGGAGGTGGGTGGGATAGGGTTGACATTTCGGTATGGCCGGTTTGCACAATCAACACCGATGCCAATGCGCACCCGTGTCATTGTCGGAAGCGACCTGATCCATGCATATCCATGCTGCGAGGTGCCCATGTCAGACTCTTCTTGTGTGGAAGCTGCTGACCCTTGGCTTTGAGCATGAGTCTACTTTGAAGTCCAAAGTGGTTCAATGGGGGTTTGAAGCGGTGGACCGCTGCGATTGTGATTTTGTGACATGGTAAAGCTACAAACATCATCAAACATCTGCCTTGGAATTGATGGTTTGGAATTGGTCTTTGGCTCCAAGAGGTGCTTTGCACTGGGAAGGCCCTGCATCCTGCAGCATGCAGGATTTGCAGATCTCCGACACGGGGCTTTCCTTCGTTGCCGGAGGCATGGAGAGTTCTGCGTTGCGTCTAATTTGCAGTGCGAGAGCAGAATGTTGGCTGTTCCACGACAGCACCATGCCGCGCAAAATCTCCAAGGCGAGCGCATTTTGGTCGAATGGCCCCAAGCAGTTGACTCCACAACAGCTCGCGCAAGCTACTCCTCCAGGTACGGTCGTGAGGGAACTACTCGCAACGTTGAGTCAAAACAGGAAATTGCTAAAAAAAATGGAGCACCAGTTCCAGAAAGTCAGCGCGGCTAAGCCTTTCTTATGGGCCCATGAGATTTATGACTATGGCATGTCTGGTCAGGGATCTGTTCCCTAATCTTATCCCGACAAGATGACACGATGTGTTGTGGCAGGAGTTCCAAGCTGGTGGTGAAAGTCAAAGCTCAATAGAACCGTGTAAAACGTGCGGCTCTGACGCAGATTGACTTATTTTTCCGCGGGTGGTGTCAAGATGCGTAAGCATTTTACCATCAGTAATTACCGCAGATCAGTCCTTCACTTAGGCTATGCTTGAAACTCACCAGAGATGCACTGAATGTAAGCTGAGGGTTTGATGCTTTCTCCATGTCCACTGGGCAGGTGCTAAGAGTCAACATGAGTCAACAGCATGTAGGAAGTAAATGAAGTAAAGTAGAGCCAGTAGAGAAAATTAAACCATGTTTTCCTGTTTTCCAAATCTTTCCAACACCCTTGGCGCCTTTGGCTCATCTCATAGCATGCACGAGCCGCGGGCCTTGAATTGTCCGGACCTGAGCAACTGAGCTGGGAGCGGCTGGTGACGCCTGAGCCTCGAAGTTGGCGACTTCTTCTTCTCATATCCAGTCACATTCCAGTCAATTCCAGTCACTTGCATTCCTATGAATTCAATAATATCCAAGAATATCCATTTGTTCTCCGTGTCCGTATCTGTATCATCCTGTGTTTGTTTCACGGTGGCATCTGTTGAGTAAAGTGACGATCCGAATAAGCGAGAAGTGTCTTCTGGTATCGCAACTTGCTGGCATGAGAGCCAGAATGCTGAGTGATGCTGAGTGCAACACATTTGTGTTTGCAATCCAACGAGCATTGGTCGGAGTTCATACATATGATGAATTGAACACGTTCTCTCTTTTTGATCCAAATTTATTAAGCTTAGAACGCAGGCTTTAAACCACCAACTAAATAGTTTATGTTTCAATTTTCAACGGTTCATGAATTATCGTTGGGTAAACGGAATAAATTGAATAAACATGAATAAACTGGCTAGGGTTGATGGCACTGATGGCGGCTCTACGGAGTTGCGTCGGCGCAGCAGCACATCAGGCGGCTCCTTTGAAGTCTTGATTTGGGATTGTCCGAACTGAGCCGCAGGTACCCTTCTATTTCTTGCAGGTCAGTTCGATCAGTTCGGCAAATTGATGATAAGCTCAGTTGATTTCGGGCATACCCTCTTTTTGGACAAACCCGATTTCCAAACCCAGATGATTTCGAGTGACACACCCTTGTTCAGAATAGCAGAGCATGTGTTGTGTGACCGTGCAGCCGAGGGAGCTCAAACTCAGACAGGTCGAAGGCGGCCTTGATTTAGAGTTGAGGGGATTGAAACTGCATCTTGACATCTTGACGCTTCTTCAGCCCTCGGCCATGTTTTTTGCTTTGGATGTTGCCCCGTGGGAATCTAGTGACTGGCCAAAGGCCTACGCCACATCTCCCTACATGAGCACCAACAGTTGGTTGTGCTTCAGGTTTCTTGTGCTACTTTTCTTCGTGCTACACTTCATTGCAAATATGTTGTATTACTGGGATGAGGAGCGTTGGTTGTACTGGATCTACCTCTCTCGATGGACAATTGCATGCGAAGTTGTGCAGGAATGCATTTACTTCCTGCTTGCCTTTTGGGGTTCTGTCCTCTTGGAGAATGGTCTGAAGACTCCGACCCTTCCTGTCCTGGTGAAAATCCACATGGCCTTGAAGTGCATGGTCTTGCCCACATGCTTGCTCTCAGCAGGACTCTATTGGACCTTCTCGGAACACTTGCCACCACCCTATGTCAGTGCGGCCGTGCATGGAGGTGATGTGATTGTAATCCATCTCAGCTTTTTCCTTGGCCGTTTTCCTTATGCTTTCAACAAGTGTGGCTGGATTTTCTTGTGGGGTGGGAGCTTTAGCGTGTGGAGCATAATCCATTTTCTCCTCAAGATTGGCAGAGCAGATACATGTGAATATCCAAAGAATGAGTGCCCCATTTATCGTCCGCTTGATTGGCACTACCCCTATCGTGCAGGACTTGTAGTTTGTTTTGGCGCAGTGGTTGGGCCTCCCTTGTTTGGCGGGTTTTACACTGGTTTGACCATGCTACGTGATCGGTGTGACAATAGTGCCAGATTGATGCGCAAAGCCACATTGGTCCCACAAGAGGAAAACGTGAAGCTGCAGTCAGGCCCGCACCCGTCAGATCAACTCAAGTGCGGCTTGAACTGCGGGGTCTGAAAGCATGAAGCTCCATTTTCCTATCGTCTCACTGACATCTTTGCGCATAGAACAGTTTCCCTGAGACGTTGCTCTCGCAGTTGGGGGCCCAATGGAATGCACAACTGAAAGCCACCGCTGAAGGGCGGCCGGCCGTGTGGAGTCTTGTTATTGAAGTGCCACACTCGAGAAAGAGAGGGATGATTTGAATTTGATATATTCGCGCTTGTTCGCATCATTGCTTTTTGCAGGGATGTTGCATTTTTGTCAATTGTGTCGCTCTCTCCTTGGTTGCAGGACTGCCCTGGTGAGCCCGGGTAATCAACCGCTGCTTCACCGTTCAGGTCAGAAAAGTCTGCACAGTCTGTGGTTTTGAATTGAAGCTGCTTCAGTTTTAATTTTGATACCTACGTAGCCTACAATAGCCGACGGATTTCAACTATGCCCATATTTTTGCCTAATATATGTTTCAAGATTCAGGTCACTTCAATCACTACAGTAAAAGGCAGAGTTTTGAGAACAGCAGACCATGTGTTGTGTGACCGTGCAGCCGAGGGAGCTCAAACTCAGACAGGTCGAAGGCGGCCTTGATTTAGAGTTGAGGGGATTGAAACCGCATCTTGACGCTTCTTCAGCCTCGGCCATGTTCTTTGCTGTGGATGTTGCTCCCTGGGAACCAAGTGACTGGCCAAAGGCCTATGCCACATCTCGCTACATGAGCACCAACAGTTGGTTGTACTTCAGGTTTCTTGTGCTCCTCTTCTTCGTGGGTCACTTCATTGCAAATTTTATTTACGACTGGCCGGAAGAACATTTCATCTACTTCATGTACCTCTCCCGTTGGTTTCTGATATGCAATGTTTTGCTAGAATGCATCGACTTCCTGCTTGCCTTTTGGGGTTCTGTCCTCTTGGAGAATGGTTTGAAGACTCCGACCCTTCCTATTCTGGTGAAAATCCACATGGCCTTGAAGTGCATGGTCTTGCCCACATGCTTGCTCTCAGCAGGACTCTTTTGGGCTCTCGTAGCAGAAGGTCCAATACCCTACATCAGTATGGCCGTGCATGGAGGTGATGTGATTGCGATCCATCTCAGCTTCTTCCTTGGCCGCTTTCCTTATGCCTTCAACAAGTGCGGCTGGGTCCTTGTGTGGGGTGGAAGCTATAGTATTTGGACCGTGCTCCATTTCCTTCTGAAGATTGGCACTGATGATTCAACAGCTTGCAAGGAGTACCCCCTGAATGAGTGCCCCATTTATGGCCTGTTCGATTGGCACTACCCCTATCGTGCAGGACTCGTAGTTTGTGCTTTGGCAGTAGTTGCTCCTCCCTTGTTTGGTGGGCTGTACACTGGTTTGACCATGCTACGTGACCGGTGCGACAATAGTGCCAAAGTGATGCGCGAAGCCACATTGGTCCCACGGGAGGAAAGCGTGAAGCTGCAGTCAGACACCTTCCGCTCAGACCAACTCAAGTGGGAGACCAAAACTCCATTGAACTGCGGGGTATGAAAGCATGAAGCCCCATTTTTCCAGCGTCTCACGTCGAAGTCCAGTTGCATTGGCAATGGTGCCTGTGTATAGAGAGCAGTTTCCCTGAGACGTTGCTCTCGCAGTTGGGGGCCCAATGGAATGCACAACTGAAAGCCACCGCTGAAGGGCGGCCGGCCGTGTGGAGTCTTGTTATTGAAGTGCCACACTCGAGAAAGAGAGGGATGATTTGAATTTGATATATTCGCGCTTGTTCGCATCATTGCTTTTTGCAGGGATGTTGCATTTTTTGTCAATTGTGTCGCTCTCTCCTTGGTTGCAGGACTGCCCTGGTGAGCCCGGGTAATCAACCGCTGCTTCACCGTTCAGGTCAGAAAAGTCTGCACAGTCTGCGGTTTTGAATTGAAGCCGCTTCAGTTTTAATTTTGATACCTACGTAGCCTACAATAGCCGACGGATGTCAACTATGCCCATATTTTTGCCCAAATATTGTAGGGCTTCGCACATTGGCGATGCTCCAAAGGTTGTTGGTGTTGCCCTGAATGTCGCCCGCTTGCTCTGTTGCTGCTGTTGCTGCTGTTGCTGCTGCTGTTTGTTGTTGTTGGTTGGTTGGTTTGGGTTGGTTTGGGTTGGTTTGGGTTGGTTTGGGTTGGTTTGGGTTGGTTTGGGTTGGTTTGGGTTGGTTTGGGTTGGTTTGGGTTGGTTGGTTTGGTTTGGTTTGGTTTGGTTTGGTTTGGTTTGGTTTGGTTTGGTTTGGTTTGGTTTGGTTGGTTGGTTGGTTGGTTGGTACAAACAAAGACTGAGGCCCTCAAAACAAGCTACCCAAGCTTATTTTGGAATTTGCTTGGTGTTCCTTAAGGGCGTCCATGGAGTTTTCCACCGTTTTGAAAAAGAATTTTGGTGTATTTTGGTGTAGACTTTTGGCTTCTTTTTTTAGTTAGGCAAAAGCTTTCTGGACTCCTTTTTGACCGCTCAGCAGCCGTCCAGCAGGGGCGCTTTGGATCATTGTGATTTTTCTGGTTGCTGGACCATGCTGGACCCTTTTTGGGGCTCCAACGGCCCAAATCTATCAAAAAAGGGGTCTGGCGTTTCATTTTCTAGCTGCTGGACCCCTTTTTGTGCCGTGAGCGGCCTGGATCCTCCAAAAAGGATTCCACCGCCACTTCAGCTCAGACCTTCACCTTTTTCCTGGTGCTGGACCACTTTTTGTGCCATGAGCGGCCTGGATCCTCCAAAAAGCGGTGCAATGGCACCTGACTTCAGGCTTGCTACCTTTTCCTGCTGCTTGGACCCCTTTTTGTGCCGAGAGCGGCTTGGATCCTCCGAAAAGGGGTCCTGTGACCTGGCTTCAAATTTGCTTCTGGGGCCACCTTTTCAGCAGCCTTACCACACAGAGACGCTGTACCTGTGTTAGCTCTCTCTCTGTTCCTTCTGCTTCTTGCCGTTGCTCTGTGCGCGGCAGTTGTTGTTTGGATATGCAGATATGCCCCCTCTGTTCCACAATTTGCAGAGCATACCTTTTATCCCAGGTTTGCCTAGCCCAGTCGGTAGAGCGCAAGGCCCTTAACCTGAAGCTCGAGGGTTCGACATATGGCTTTTTCTGCCAATCTTGCGGCTGCTGTCCTGGCCGCACAGAGAAAAGTGTTCTTGTTCTCTCTTTCTCTCTTCTTTAGAGGCTGTACCTATGTTATCTCTCTCTTGTGGTTTGCTCGTGGTCATGGCTTTCTCTGTGTGGCGGTTGTTGTCTACTGATATCCTGCCTTTGTTGATCCATCAGCTGAGCATAGCCTTTATGCAGAGCCCGCCTTGCTCAGTCGGTAGAGCGCAAGGCCCTGAACTTGAGTTCCGCCTTTGTTCTGGGAAACTGGATTAGACCTTCACCTTTTTCCTGGTGCTGGACCCCTTTTTTGTGCCGTGAGTGGCCTGGATCCTCCAAAAAGGGACCCACCGCAATAGAACTTCAAACTTGCTTCCGGATCGACCTTCTCAGTAGCTTCGCCACACAGAGGGTGTACCTGCGTTAGCTCTCTCTGTTCCTTCTTCTGCTTCTTGCCGTTGCTCTGTGTGCGGCAGTTGTTGTTTGGATATACCCCCTTTGTTCCAAAATTTTCACCAAAATTTGCAGAGCATACCTTTTATACCAGGTTTGCCTAGCTCAGTCGGTAGAGCGCAAGCCGCTGCCCCTTGACCGGAAGCTCGAGGGTTTGAGCTCGCCTCGGGTCTGTAGCGATTTTTCCGCCAATGAGGCTCTTGTGCCAATCTTGCGGCTGCTGTCCTTGCCGCACAGAGAACAGTGTTCTTGTTCTCTCTTTCTCTCTCTCCTTTAGAGGCTGTACCTATGATATCTCTCTCTTGCGGTTTGCTCGTGGTCATGGCTTTCTCTGTGGCGGCTGTTATCTACTGATATCTTGCCTTTAGCCTTTATACAGGGCCCGCCTCGCTCAGTCGGTAGAATGCAAGGCTCCGAGCTTGAGTTCAGCCTTTGCTCTGTGAGAAACTGGATTGCTTCTTTTGCTGATCTGCTTCTCCTCGCCTACCGCTGGACCTCTTTTTGTGCCGTGAGCGGCCTGGATCCTCCAAAAGGGGCTCGCCGCCACCTCAGCACAGACTGTCACCTTTTTCCCTACCGCTGGACCCCTTTTGTCTGCCGTGAGCGGCCTGGATCCTCAGCTCAGACCTTCACCTTTTTCCTGGTGCTGGACCCCTTTTTGTGCCGTGAGCGGCCTGGATCTTCCAAAAAGGGGTGCAATGGCACCGCTACCTTTTCCTGCTGCTTGGATCCCTTTTTGTGCCGTGAGCGGCTTGGATCCTCCGAAAAGGGGTCCTGTGACCTGGCTTCAAATTTGCTTCTGGGGCCACCTTTTCAGCAGCCTTACCACACAGAGACGCTGTACCTGTGTTAGCTCTCTCTCTCTCTCTGTTCCTTCTGCGTCTTGCCGTTGCTCTGTGTGCGGGAGTTGTTGTTTGGATATGCCCCCTCTGTTCCACAATTTGCAGAGCATACCTTTTATCCCAGGTTTGCCTAGCCCAGTCGGTAGAGCGCAAGGCCCTTAACCTGAAGCTCGAGGGTTCGACATATTGCTTTTTCTGCCAATCTTGCGGCTGCTGTGCCACCTCAGCCCACAGCTTTTTCCTGGTGCTGGACCCATTTTTGTGCCGTGAGCGGCCTGGATCCTCTAAAAAGGGGCCCACCGCCACCTCAGCTCAGACCTTCACCTTGTTCCTGGTGCTGCGCCCCTTTTTGTGCCGTGAGCGGCCTAGATCCTCAGCTCAGACCGCCACCTTTTTCCTAACTTTGACTTTTTGAAGCAAGCTTTTCAAAATTCATCATCATTGACACTGAAGCTGGGGCGCACGAGGCACAGAAAAAACACCGCTGCAAATGTCTTTTTAGATCTGCGCAGCAGGAAAAATTGTCAAGGTCTGAGCTGAGGTGGCGGTAGGCCCCGTTTTGGAGGATCCAGGCCGATCACGGCACAAAAAGGGGTCCAGCGGTAGGCGAGGAGAAGCAGATAAGCAAAAGAAGCAATCCAGTTTCCCATAACAAAAGCGGAACTCAAGTTCAAGCCCTTGCACTCTACTGGCGTGAGCGAGGTGGGCCCTGCATAAAGGCTATGCTCAGTGGATGGATCAACAAAGGCAGGATATCAGTAGACAACAGCCGCCACACAGAGAAAGCCACGACCACGAGCAAACCGCAAGAGAGAGATAACATAGGTACAGCCTGGAAAGGAGAGAGAAAGAGAGAACAAGAACACTTTTCTCTGTGCGGCAAGGACAGCAGCAGCAAGATTGGCACAAGAGCCTCGTTTGGCGGAAAAATCACTGTAGACGGGGGCGGGCTCGAGCCGCCAATCTTCAGGTTAATACGCTCTGCCGACTGAGCTAGGCAAACCTGGTATAAAGGGCATGCTCTGCAAATCATGGAACAGAGGGGGCATACCCAGACAAGAACTGCCGCACACAAAGCAACGGCCGCAAGCAGAGAGCAAGGAACAGAGAGAGCTAACACAGGTACACCCTCTATGTGTGGCGGGGCTACTGAAACGGTCGATCCGGAAGCAAGTTTGAGGTTCTATAGCGGTGGGCCCCTTTTTGGAGGATCCAGGCCGATCACGCCACGCAAAGGGGTCCAGCACTAGGAAAAAGGTGGAGGTCTGAGCTGAGGTCGGGGCAAAAAAAAAAAACGTAATTAAAGGACCGGATAACCCCACAAGTCAACTTCTTCCAAAAATGAGCAACAAATGTTGTGGCGGGGACGGGGAAGGAAGGAAAGACAAAGGAGGAGGTGGAGAAAAGATGGTGTGTGACAAAGATGTGTGTGTGTGTGAAAGATGGTGTGTGACAAAGATGGTGTGGTGAAAAAGATGGTGTGTGACAAAGTTGTGTGTGAAAGATGGTGTGTCAAAGATGGTAGATGGTGTGTGCGACAAAGTGGTGTGTAAAAGATGGTGTGTGAAAGTAGTTTGTGACGGTGTGTGAAAGATGGTGTGTGACAAAGTAGTGTGAAAGATGGTGTGTCAAAGATTGTGTGTCAAAGATGGTGTGTGAAAGATGGTGCGTGACAAAGTGGTTTGTGAAATATGGTGTGTGAAAAAGTGGTGTGAAAGATGGTGTGTGACAAAGTGGTGTGTGAAAGATGATGTGTCAAAGATGGTGTGTGACAAAGTTGTGTGTGAAAGATGATGTGTGTGATAGATGGTGTGTGAAAGATGGTGTTTGACAAAGTGGTGTGTGAAAGATGGTGTGTGACAACGCTGTGTGTGAAAGATGGTGTGTGTGACAAAGTTGTGTGTGAAAGATGGTGTGTAGCAGATGGTGTGCCAAGTATAGTATGGTGTGTAAAAGAGTGTGTGTGACAAACTGGTTTGTGAAAGATGATGTGTGACATAGTGGCGTGACAGATGGTGTGACAAAGATGGTGGGTGACAAAGTGGTGTCAGAACGATGGTGTGCCAAAGATGGTGTGTGAAAGATGGTGTTTGACAAAGTGGTGTGTGAAAGATGATGTGTGACAAAGCGGTGTGAAAGATAGTGTGTCAAAGATGGTGTGTCAAAGATGGTGTGTGAGAGATGGTGCGTGACAAAGATGGTGTGTGAAAGATGGTGTGGCAAAGATGGTGTGTGAAAGATGGTGTGTGACAAAGTGTTGTGAAATATGATGCGTGAAAGATGATGTGTGAAAGATGGTGTGTGAAAGATGGTGTGTGACAAAGTTGTGTGTGAAAGATGGTGTGGCAAAGATGGTGTGGCAAAGATGGTGTGTCAAAGATGGTGTGTGAAAGATGGTGCGTGACAAAGATGGTGTGTGAAAGATGGTGTGTCAAAGATGGTGTGTGTGTGTGACAAAGTTGTGTGTGAAAGATGGTGTGTAACAGATGGTGTATCAAAGATGTTGTGTGAAAGAGGGTGTGTGACAAAGTGTTGTGAAATATGATGCGTGAAAGATGATGTGTGAAAGATGGTGTGTGACAAAGATGGTGTGTGAAAGATGGTGTGTGACAAAGTGGTCTGTCAAAGATGTTGTGTGACAAAGTTGTGTGTGAAAGATGGTGTGGCAAAAGATGGTGTGTGACAAAGTGGTGTGCGAAAGATGGTGTGTGAAAGGTGATGTGTGACAAAGTGGTGTGTGAAAGATGGTATGTGACAAAGTTGTGTGTGTGTGTGAGCCAGCCTAGTGCCATAAGTGCCATGCCTGCCACGCGAAACGAAGGTAGATGTCACCTGCCTCGCAAAGTGACGATCCATGTCGCGAAGTGCCACGCCTGCCATGCAAAGTGACGATCGATGTCGCCAAGTGCCAAGCCTGCCACGCAAACGGCGGCGGCGACCACAGCGCCAACAGCGGCCCAGCGCGCTACCGGAGCCAGCCCAGTGCCATAAGGGCCACGCCTGTCATGCAAAGTGACGATCGATGTCGCGAAGTGCCACGCCTTCCACGCAAACGGCGGCGGCGGCCCAAGCGCGCCACCCAGTGCCATAAGTGCGCCTGCCACGCAAAGTGACGATCCAGGTCGCGAAGTGCCCTGCCTGCCACGCAAAGTCACGATCGATGTCGCCGAGTGCCACGCCTGCCAGGCAAAGTGACGATCGATGTCGCCAAGTGCCACGCCTGCCACGCAAACGGCGGCGGCGACCACGGCGCCAAAAGCGGCCCAAGCGCGCCACCGGAGCCAGCCCAGTGCCATAAGTGCCACGCCTGCCACGCAAAGTGACGATCCATGTCACGAAGTGCCACGCCTGCCACGCAAAGTGACGATCCATGTCGCAAAGTGCTACGCCTGCCACGCAAAGTGACGATCGATGCCGCCAAGTGCCACGCCTGCCACACAAACGGCGGCGACCATGGCGCCAAAAGCGGCCCAAGCGCGCCACCGGAGCCAGCCCAGTGCCAGAAGGGCCACGCCTGTCACGCAAAGTCGCCAAGTGCCACGCCTTCCACACAAACGGCGGCAGCGGCCACGGCGCTAAAAGCGGACAAGTTGTTTGTGAGTAAGTTGTGTGTGGACAAGTTGTTTGTGAGTATGCTGTTTGGTGACAAGTTGTGTGTGGGTAAGTTGTGTGAGTAAGTAGTGTGTGAACAAGTTGTGTGTGAGTAAGTAGTGTGTGAACAAGTTGTGTGTGTGTGTGTGGGACAAGTTGTGTGTGGACAAGTTGTGTGGTGACAAGTTGTGTGTGGGTAAGTTGTGTGTGTGAGTAAGTTGTATGGTGACAAGTTGTGTGAGCAAGTTGTGTGATTACAAGTTGTGTGTGATGACAAGTTGTGTGTGATGACAAGTTGTGTGTGAGTAAGTTGTGCGTTGACAAGTTCTGTGTGGTGACAAGTTGTGTGTGAGCAAGTTGTGTGTGTGTGTGTGCAAGTTGTGTGGTCAAGTTGTGTGTGGGCAGGCGGCGGGCGGAGAGGCGGGTGGAGAGGCGGGGGTGCACAACCAAAAACAAGAACCCCACACAAAGATGTGGGGAAATACCGATGTGTTTGGCGTCTCAGAAGCCAAACAACATGCTATTTACATCGGTTCACGAGGTTTTTGACCTTCGTAGTAAAAACCACGGTACCTACAGTTTGTGGGCAGCACCTAGCCAAAAAATACCGGTTTTCAGCATGTTGCAAGAAGTAGTTTTCCCATGTTTTTCCACGCAAAGCGGCAAAAACATATCTAATTATATACAGTGTTTTGGCCTTTGGCATGCGCCAAAAAACATCAAAAGTCCATCAAAAAGTGTTCAAAATGGACCTTTGAGCCGCACGCCCCGTTTTTATATCCATGTTACGCGGGCTTTTGACGCCCTAAAAACGTGAAAGCACCACCAGGGTGAAGGATTTTGTGGGAGGTCGGCGGCAGAAGCCGCAGCCGATCTGCAATGCTGCAGCGACTTGCAGAGACCGGCAATGGCGAGGCATCGCCAGACTTTTGGGTTTACGCCCGACAGGGACATCTTGGGGGCATGTTGGCATGTTGGGGCTATGTTGGGCCATGGTGGGCCAGGTTGGGCCAGGTTGGGCCATGTTGGCGGGGGCAATGTTTGGGCCAAGTTGGAGCCTTGTTTGGCGATGTTGGAGGCATGTGGAAAGCGTAGAGCTTGCACCCACAGGGCAGGATGATGCCCAAAACGGCCAAACAACACGGTAAAATACGGAATTTTCTGTCAAAGCCAACTTCCGTGCCAAGATGGCCGCTGTTGAGGCTTGTGGCCATGTTGAGGCTGTCTTGGGGGCCAAGTTGGGGCCATGCAAGGCCATCTTGGGGCAAGTTGGGGCTTGTTAGGGCCATCGGGTGCCATGTTTGGGGGCATGTTGCGGCCTTGTTGCGCCCCAAAACGGCCAAAACGCGATAAAACGCGTGTAAAACACAGCCTTTTTTTATCATAGCAGAGTTGGAAGCCAGGAGAGATCATGCTGAGACTTTTGGGCATAAACTTGAGCCAAGTTGAGGCCATGTTGGTGCATTTTGGGCTGAAGGTGTGCTATGACACGGCTTTTTGCGCCTGCGATGGGCCGTTTTGGGGCCATATAGGGTCATGTACTGACCCAAGTGAACCCAGTGCAAGCGGTCGCAAGCTTGGAGATGGTCCGGAACCTAGGTAAGGTATTCATCCAGGGGGACCGGGCGGTGAAGTTGCACCGTTGGTTTCTGTCAGGAAAACAGCCGCAATACACAGTAAAACACAGCATTTTCTGCCATTCTCCACTGTCATGCTAAGATGGCCGATGTTGAGGCTTGTTGAGGCAATCTTGAAGCCTCCTTGGGACCAACTTGGGCCATGTTGGGTCATCTTGAGGCCATGTTGTTTGCATTGCGTGTCAAAATTTTGCGATTGATGCTTGTGCATTCTTAGCTGTGGAATTAGTGCCTGTACCATGATATCAATTCCGAGAGACCACTTTAACAATTCCATTGTGCACGCGCAATTTAAATGCGCGTTTAAAGTTATAATGCATCCCAGCTGATCAATGGGTCAATGCCTAGTACCAGTCGACCTTGGATGATGGCAATTTGCAATCTATGTTAACCTGCAACCCCACAGTATACCAACAACGCAAAAGTTAATGGTTGATGAAGCAAAGAACATAAGATGCATATTTTGGCATGTTCAAAGGTTTGTTCAGTTTTGGGACCTTATTTTCCGAACTAAGAAAACCGCACTAAAAATTACAATCACCATTTTTCTCACCCATGTGCCACATCTTGCAGCCAGCCAGCCCTCAAAGCGAAAGCTATATGCTCTCACGCCTCCGAAACAGCAAAACACAACCCAATTTCGCGCGTGTCATTAAATCAGTCCCGAGAAGGGGCCTAAAGACTTTTCCCAAACCAAAAAGAAACATTTGTCAGTTTTTTCACCCGTGCCCCCTGTGCCACATCTTGCAGCCAGCCAGCCCGCAACGCAAAAACTATATTCTTTCCGGCGCCCCCTAATTTCGCGCCAAAACGTGTCAAAATCAGTTCCAAGAAGGGGTTTAACGCGCCTTCTGAGTTGGGCCCCTTCTGAAGCCCTGCTAAAAATGACATTTGTCATCTCTTTTCCACCCCTGCGCCACATTTTGCAGCCAGCCAGCCCGCAAAGCATAAGCTAATCAATTATATGCTTTTGTGCCGCTTGCGAAACAGGAGACAAAAAGATGTTTTGTGTTTTTCCTTTTTCTTCTTCTTCTTTTCTTCTTCTTTTCTTCTTCATTTCTTCTTCTTTTCTTCTTCTTTTCTTCTTCTTTTCTTCTTCTTTTCTTCTTCTTCTTCTTCTTAGTCTTATTCTTCTTTGTTTGCTGTTGCTGTTGCTGCTGCTGCTGCTGCGGTGGTGGTGGTGGTTGCCTTTGTCGCTGTCGCTGCGGCTGCTGCTGCTGCTGGTGGTGGTGGTGGTGGCGGTGATGTTGTTGTTGTTGTTGTTGTTGTTTGCAACCTCTCCGCCCTGACGCGCTCCCCCCTGCTGTTGGACGGGGTCGGCAGACTTCACTTCAACCGCTATGAACGGCGTAATTTTGAGAACAGCAGAGCATGTGTTGTGTGACCGTGCAGCCGAGGGAACTCAAACTCAGATAGGTCGAAGAAGGCCTTGATTTAGAGTGGAGAGGGTTCAAACCGCATCTTGACGCTTCTTCAGCCCTCGGCCATGTTCTTTGCTGTGGATGTTGCCCCCTGGGAACCAGGTGACTGGCCAAAGGCCTATGCCACATCTCCCTACATGAGCACCAACAGTTGGGTGTTCTTCAGGTTCCTCGTGCTACTCTTCTTCGTGGGGCACTTCGTTGCACATTTGGTTACTTACTGGCCGGGTGAACAGTTCACGTACTTTATCTACCTCTCCCGATGGACAATTGCATGCGAAGTTGTGCAGGAATGCATCTACTTCTTGCTTGCCTTTTGGGGCTCTGTCCTCGTGGAGAATGGTCTGAAGACTCCAACCCTTCCTGTCCTGGTGAAAATCCACATGGCCTTGAAGTGCATGGTCCTGCCCACATGCTTGCTCTCGTCAGGACTCTATTGGGCGTTTTCGCCCTTTTTGCCACCACCCTACATCAGTGCCGCCATGCATGGAGGTGATGTGATTGTGATTCATCTCAGTTTCTTCCTTGGGCGTTTTCCTTATGCCTTCAACAAGTGTGGCTATATCCTTTTGTGGGCTGGAAGCTATAGTATTTTCACCGTGCTCCATTTCCTTCTCAAAATTGGCACTGATGATTCGGCACCTTGCGCAGAGTACCCCCTGAATGAGTGCCCTGTCTATGCTGACATCGATTGGCATCATCCCAAACACACAGCACTGCTGGCCTTTGGAGGGGCACTAGTTGCTACTCCCTTGCTGGGTGGGCTGTACACTGGTTTGACCATGCTACGTGACCGGTGCGACAATAGTGCCAAAGTGATGCGCGAAGCCACATTGCTCCCACAAGAAGAAAATGTGAAGCTGCAGTCAGGCCCGCACCCGTCAGATCAACTCAAGTGCGGCTTGAACTGCGGGGTCTGAAAGCATGAAGCTCCATTTTCTTATCGTCTCACTGACTCCTCTGCGCATAGAGAGCAATTTACTTGAGACCTTGCTCTGGCAGTTGTGGGCGGAAGAATTACACCTGCAGAAGCCACAACTGCGGGAGGGTTGTGTAGACTCGATTTTGCCTGCGACGCTACAGAGAAAAACTTTGCTTTGAAGGATTAGTTTGAAACGGGCTTGAAACGCACGGCTTGGCAATTGTGTATGTTTTTTGCAGGAATTTGCAGCATTTTGCCTGTCGTTTCATTGCGTTGTTTGGCTGCACTTTTGGCGAAACTTGGCAAGTTCCAGGCGCTTGCAGGTTTTCTCGATGGATCAAATGTTTTAGCATATTTGGGGAGTGAGCATTCATTTACCAGCTATTTTGGTGTTCAATGGTGTTCACCTACCAGGGTTTGACCCATAGCAGGAAAAAGAGAATGCGCCCATCCCCGCATGATATGTACAACCATGCATGCATGCATCCATCCGCAATAGAACAATCGATCCATGCACCCGTGCATCCTTCCATCCATCAATCCATCCATCCATCGATCCACCCACCGATCCACCCATCCATACAACACTCTCACACATTCACACATTCATTCATTGTTCGCTCATTCGTTCCTTCGTTCGGTCGGTCGGTCGGTCATTCATTCATTTATTCGTTCGTTCGTTCATTCATTCTCTTTCATTCTTTCATTCTTTCATTCTTTCATTCTTTCATTCATTCATTCGCTCATTCTTTCATTCATTCCTTCCTTCATTCATTCATTCGTTCATTCATTCATTCAATCATTCATTCATGCATTCTTTCATTCATTCATTCATTCATACATTCTTTCATTCATTCATTCGTTCATTCGTTCATTTGTTCGTTCATTCATTCATTCGTTCGTTCATTCATTCATCCATCCATTCATTCATTCATTCACTCATTCATTCACTCATTCATTCACTCATTCACTCATTCACTCATTCACTCATTCACTCATTCATTCGTTCGTTCGTTCGTTCATTCGTTCATCCGTTCATTCGTTCATTCGTTCATTCGTTTATTCGTTCGTTTATTCGTTCATTTATTTATTCTTTCTTGCTTTCTTTCTTTCATTCCTTTTTTCTTTCATTCATTCATCCATTCTTTCTTTCATTCAGTCTTTCATCCGCTCATTCTTTCATTCATTCTTTCATTTGTTCTTTCATTCATTTTTTCAGTCATTCATTCTTTCTTTCATTCTTTCATTCAGTCACCCATTCTTTCATCCATTCATTCCATTCATTCCATTCTTTCACTCCATTCGTTTATTCGTTCATTATTTCTTTCATTCTTTCTTTCTCACATTTTCACACACTCATTTGTTTGTACGTTCGTTCTTTCGTTCGTTCGTTCGCTCGTTCGTTCATTCAGTCATTCATTCATTCATTCATTCATTCACTCACTCACTCATTATCAGCATTTCAAAGTCATGCGTACGTACATACATGCATGCATGCATACATACGTGTAAACTTGGATATCCGTACGTACTTACATCCAGAAAGGGAGATATATACATACAGATAGGCAGACGGACAGACATACATCCATGCAGGCAGACAGGCAGGCAGGCATACATACATCCAGGCAGGCACGCAGGCAGAGAGACAGATATACATCCAGGCAAGCAGACAGACAGACAGACATACAGACGGACAGGCAGACAGGCAGACAGACATACATACATTCAGGCAGTCAGGCACACAGACTGAACTTCGAACCGGCTCGCCCACTTCAACATGCATTGCAGGGCGATACCACATGTGATACCGAAGGTGATACCACAGGTCAACACCAGCGAAGTGCTGCAACACAAATCGCAGATTGTGACCAAAACGTGAATATCAGTGTGCGCTTTAGAATCGCGGAGAGGAACTATATAGTATGTATTCTCGTGACTTCTGTTCCTTGGGTCCCTGATGGCTGATGGGCAATTTGGATCCTGTGCATGGTCATTCAGACAGCACATGCTCAATTTGGAGGCAATGATTGACAGCAGGGAAAATAGAAGCAAACATCCAGGCATAGATAAAACCTCGTTCCAAGGCAACTACACGGAAATCTCCTTTTAAATTTGTTGAACAGGATTGGAAAGGATTGAGACGGCTCGAAAAAGTGTTTCTTAGCTCCAGGCATACACCAACAGACTGATGTTGTTCCTCCTTCCAGATTTCATCTCATGTCTCGATTGACTCGATCGATTTGGGCTCAAGAACGGATCCAGTCACCAAGGGAGCCAGAGCCTCCATGAGAGCCTCCATGCTTCTTGATGTGTGATGGAGAGTCATCATCGGACCCGGACCCATGGTTCCATGACATACCCTGGCATCTCCCATGATCCTTAGAAATCTGGCTGGACACATAATGTGCGTGTAATATTACGTGCAAGTGCGGGGGCCGAAATTTAAAGGCGGCGACCACGGATGAATACAAATTGTCCTTTTTGAGTGTGTAGAGTGTAGCCATGTGTAGCCATCGATTTTTGAGAGCATTTTAATTGAAGATTCGAGGCACTGAGCCAGCCGAGGTATATCATAAGAAAAAGGTGCCTGCCGGCCTACGTTCTTATCAGTCTCTTGCTTGCAGCAAAGGCGTTGAACGAAGAGAGCTGCTTGCACAAGATTCACAGTCAAGTTTGTTTGTCGAAGCTCGATCAGCAAGATGACAGAGTTAGGTTTGCTACCTTCATCTTTCGGAATGTCAGAGGCTTGTGGGTACAGCGATTGACTGTTGCAAGCTACCGTCACACAGTTACACTTGGGAGACGTTCGTTGCAAAGAACTGGGCCGAACAGAAAGAGACCAGATAAACCAGCTCTGAGGGTACCTAGCGTTTGGACGTCCAACGTTGGCAGATTCACTGGACTTGACCATTAGTTTGCCAAGGGTGGATGTCCTGCAGCTTGACTGCTTGGTTTTCGTTCTCAATTTGACAGGACATGTTGCATCCGGACAGCTGCGGGGCAGTGTCGCTGCTGCAAAGATCAAGTTGCCTGGTTGCAGTGAACCTGAAAAAAGGATAGAAAAAAGCAAGCTTGGCAACCCTCGCAGGATGTGCTGGAATGGTGGGGAAAAGCGCCGTGTTCCACCAACGGCATTTTTTTGCTAAAAAGACATTAGCCAAAGCTGCATGGATATGATGTTAATATAAGCATACATAAGCACTTGGATATGTTTCAACACGCAGCAAGGCACTATGGCATCTGCGGAGCTGCTACATCCAGTCATTATGCCCAGGGAAATCCCCAGTGTCTTGCAGAGTCGTGGCTATGACGAGGCGCAACTGGTGAAGTTGACAGTTCTGCTGGTGATTTGGTGGATTTTGGTGGGCCTTCCAGGCGGCTTTGTTGGAGATGGGAAACTACATGACCAGCTGCTTCTCAACGGACTACAATGAATGGACGCGCTCAGGTTGCACCTGGTTGCACCAAGTCAGTCTAAGTCATAGGATGTCAATAGGAATCACTTCTTCTCTCACGAATCAGTTGGATGTGAGCTACTAGTGACCACAAGGTTGTGACAGTACAGAACTTGTGTCACCAAAATTGCTAAATAGTCAGGTCGTGCATCGCCAACAAATGCCACAGAACATGGCATGGAAACTATCATGCCTTGGCCTCGGCGCATGAACCACCATGGCATTGGATTCATTGTGGGTTTGCCCACATGGCACACTCATATGCCCAAAATTATATTGAATCCATTGCGTAGTTATCATATATGCACATAAGTCCATTCATATATCCCCATTCAAATTGCCGATAAAATGGGAGAACACCGTAATGCCGCCAGTTTAAGACACTTCATGAATCTTCAGTGTGGTTGCCAGCAGCGTGCCTTGGTCTCACCTAGGTTGTTGTGGGTGTTCCAATGGCCTGGGGTGCAAGCATCCGCGATCTCGACAGTTGGGGTCCCAGATTAGGATCGATTTAGGCGAGGCATCCTTTCTTTCCTCTTGACCTGTGAAGATTTGGTCCAATGAACTTGCGGGTTTCCAACATGTTCCTTTGGGAATTGTCTCGGAATTCTGTTTCCCTGCCTCTTTGCTTCTCTGCTTCTTTGCCTGTCTGCTTCTCCAAGGTTTCTGCTTTTCTCTTTCCTTGCTGTTTTGCTTTTCTGCTTTTCCCTGCTTCTTTGCTTCTCTGTTTTTCTTCTTTGCTTGTTTGCTTCTCGAAGATTTCTGCTTTTCTGCTTTTTGCTTTTCTGTTTTTCCCTGCTTCTTTGCGTCTCTGCTTCTTTTCTGTTCTGCTTTTCTGCTTTCCCTGCTTTTTTTGCCTGTCAAGCCTAAACAATCCCTAAGATAGACTATATAAACAAACTTTAAACCATCCTACATAAACCCCACCCCAAGCCAACCCCCAAAAAACTAAACCCTAAGTAAACTCTAAACACGCCCTAAATAAATTTGAAGACTTACCCCAAATAGTTCCTAAACCAACCCTAAATCTCAAACCAAACCTAAACAAACCCTGAACCAAGCCTAAGTAGACCCTTAAACCAGACCTAAGCAAACCCTAGACCAACCCAAAAATAAACTTAGATAACTTAAAACCAACCCCAAAAAATTAAACCAACCCAAAAACCAACCCCAAGTCAACCCTTAAATAAGCCAACCCCAAACCAACCCCAAGCCAACCCTAAATGAGCAGCCGCCAAATCCCCAAGTCGTGATTTGAAGGGTGGTTAAAGTAGGTTGGCTCTGCAAAAAATAAAGCATGCTAAAACCACGTCCGAGAAAAATTCTCTAAAACTTTTTCAAAACAAAGTCCGTTGTAGAAATATTCAGAAATATTAATACATGTTTCATCATGTTTCACTAGTGTGTGTTTCGCTAAGGAACACGCAGGATTTTTTGTGCGTAGTTTTCTGTGAAGACTCGTGAAAGCCGCGAAAGAAAAAACCCACACCGCGAAAGCTTCGCAAAAGAAATGGCGAAAGACAAAAGCAAATAGAACAAAAATCATCGGGGTTTTGGCAACGGCTCAAATGAATCCTAGGTGCAAAATACTGTGCGACATGAACAGTTCGAGCACCAAAATGTTGCAACTACCACGGAAAATGAGAGGTTCGAACTGCAAAATATTGCAAAATGCTGTTGAAATGGCAGTTTCTAGTTCCAAAATGCCCTGAATACTGTAGCAAGGGAAATGGACAGGACAGGAGATCCAAAAAGAACACAAAACGGAAAAAAAAACAAACAAACCAATTCCGGTCCCTTTTCCAATGGATCCAATGGGTAGTCGAATGGATGCTGCAACTGGAACTGGACGCAGAACAAATCTGAGGTGCCTATTTGCGCTGGGGCGACTACGATGCATGGATTTGGTCTAGCTGAAAGCAGCTCTTGGTAGATCTTGGTAGCTGGCTATGGGTCAAAATGTTTGGCCACTGATGTTTGACCATGCTTTCCTTATAGAGCCGTCCGAGTCTTGATCCAAGTTTGAGTCATTTTGACCCACAAGCTTCTCATTACATGACAATGATAGTTTACAATCTCTTCATATCATTCGTATCTCACATGTTGTTTCACCACCTGCCAAGTTCAGGACGTCGCCCATCCCTGGGGCCCTGTCACTGCAATCAATGAAGGTCAAAAAATGCATAGGTTTCCATAGGTTTCCCATGTATTTGGGGATATTTAGGGATGAACCTGGGATGAACATCCAGCTATGCCATCATGGGCCGCTGGGCTATGATGCTCACCATTTTTGAGATCACCAGGCTGCCCGAATTTGCTCGGTGAAGAAGTTTATGAATGTTGGCAGTGTGATTGTGATGGCAACAGCAGTTGCATGCGTTGTTTTCCAGCCGTTTGACGTTCGTCTCTGGATCAAATCCAACATCTTCCGCAGATATCCACAGCCTCAAGTCATTTGTAGCTGTGGGTCACTTTACCACCTGCCCCTCATTTCAATTGGCATGGGAGGAAATTGTTGAATGATCAATATGCATCAATATGCCACATGCATCCGCAGCATACAGCCAGATAGCTAAGCACATGGGAAGCATGTGCAAGTGTGAATTTGCGCACTGACGCAGCCAAGGCACCTTACTAATCGAACCGTGGCAAGGACGCACGGCCATTCACATGGCTGCTTGGTAGTCGTGTGATGTTCGGCTTGAGTTTGTAGAAACATCATGACATGTGCAACTGATAGGGCGTGTGCACCAATGCTGAGGCTCGAATACATATGATCATAGCAACGTACCTCGGCGAAAATAAGTTGATCTCTTAAGCATTCTTAAGCTTCAGGTTTTATCATATCTCATTATATAAGCGGATTGCTCTTGCAGGGGGTTTCGGGCAGATGCTTGTATAAAAGCGTGTGGTGTTTTTACAGCGTGTGCTGAGGCTGTTAGCCAGATCAATTACTTCTCTTGCGGCAGAATTGGATGTTGCGAGCCGACTTCTTATATAGATGCATTGCAACGGAATGCTTGAAGGTCCGGTCTGTGCAACATTGAGTTGACACCTGTTGGTTGCACAAATCTAGGTGCACGAAGTGGTTTCATGATGTTTAACAGAGGCATACAGAGGCTATTTGTATTCATTTGTTATATATAATCAGGAGAGAGATATTTATATAAATTATATAATTTATAATCGAATACGTTTGGACATAGGAATGCCTCAAATTATATAGATGGGCTTAGCACTCCTTAGCGCCGTTGCGGTGACTCCTTGACTGAGGAAGTATGGCATCGCCAAGGACCTGTGGAGCCAGCGCACAGGGCAGGAGTTTGCTGCAACAGAATGCCTCAACGCTAACAGAAAATCGAGGCCAGGGCCTGGAGGGGAGTGTTTGGGAAGTGCTCAAACCAAGGTTTCCCAAATCGCCAAACTTCCCAGAACATCAAAGTCGGTATCTCATCTATATAATTCTATATATATATGTCTATTTATATCATTTATGATTATGCATAATTAACTTACATATTGGAGAGCTCTCAGCTTGAGGTAGGAAATTGAAATGACATTAAATTTGCTGTGCAGTTCAGCCACACGTTCAGCCGCTTTGAAAGATAGAGCTTTTGCAGCGACCAGCTAGCCCCCGGCCAACGTCCAGCATGCAATCAATGAGAAACATTTGGCAAAACTGTTTTCTGACCCGATCGCAGCTAGTCGGAACTAGTCATGACTTGTTTTTTTTCATTCGGAAATCCGCAAGGTGAGAAGGCAGAGACTTGGCCTCGTGAAGAGGTAGGGCCGTGAATGAACTAGACCGAGATGGCAGCACAAGTATGAACACAGCATTGCACAATCACATCCCAACAAAAAAGTAAGAGCGTAAGCTAGGGGAGCAAGGTGTGGCTACAACATTTGGCTGATAATTTCAGATAGTTTGGAATTCGTGTTCATGAATTTTCCATCCATTTCCATTCTTTTTCTCAGTAACAATCGAAATTTGACCAGCAGGGTTGGCATGGATGGCTCAACCGCCACTTTCCGAAAGGGCTGGATTGCAGCATCCACAGTCACTGCGCCAAGGACGAGAGATATGCGTTGTCATTGCTAGTCGTCAGAGAGCTTCGGGCAGAGGACAGTCATTCAGCTGATTCCCAAACCTCCAGTCAGTTGACTCTTAGGTATTCTATATTAATCTAAGAATCTATATCATACCGAAATTTGACCATTCTATGCTAAGGCCTTTAAATTTTGCATGCCAAGGGATGCCAAGGGTATCAAAGAATCATGAGAGTTAATTTTTTTGATGAGCTTTCAGCTAATCCAGCAGGCCACCATCCTATGCCATCCTGCGAGGATTGGACAACCGTTGTGCTTCCACTCATTGCAGTTGTAGTTCTGGTGGTATCGTTTTACATTTTCCTGACTCCCCCCAAGGCTGGGGGGAAACCGGTGACAAGCAGATAGGAATGCAATGGGATGGACAAGTTGAAAGAAATGTATGCCATATTGTGCCTACATACCTGCAGAACCCCTGAATTCTGTGAGATGGGTGTTCATATGCCTACACATATATCATATATATATATATATTATACATATTGGCACAGTTCCACATATGGGTAAAGATAATCACAATATTTACCTATATTTTTGCGCATTTTTACGCATAATGTATGTATATATATATATATATGTATCATGTAGATAGATAGATAGATAGATAGATAGATAGATAGATAGATAGATAGATAGATAGATAGATAGATAGATAGATAGATAGATAGATAGATAGATAGATAGATAGATAGATATGGATAGATATGGATAGATATGGATAGATATGGATAGATATGGATAGATATGGATAGATATGGATAGATATGGATAGATATGGATAGATATGGATAGATATGGATATATTTGGATATATTTGGATATATTTGGATATATTTGGATATATTTGGATATAGTTGGATATAGTTGGATATATTTGGATATAGTTGGATATAGTTGGATATAGTTGGATGGATTTGGATCTACAATTGCTCGTACCAATATATTCCTACACTTACATTATATAACTATATATATAAAAAAATATAATGTCTATGCACATTAGCGGAATGGATGGTGGATATATTGAATGCTAACCATTGCATTTTCAGAGATGAGGGAGAGGCAATAGATTTGGACAGATATTTGCAATATGTATCAAGCCGGGCTCCTACAACTTTGCCGCCACGGGCTTCAGTCACAGCTGATTCTTTGCAACCCTCTCAGCGCTCAGTGCAGGACCCAGTCGGTAGTGAAGAGGTCAAAAAAAGCCTTGGGGACACTTGGGGCAAACCGGCTCCCACCAGATGAGTCATATAGGAAGAAACAGAAAACTGTGGCAGTCAGCCAGTCAAAACCACCCAAGAAGCAGCGATGAGAGGCAGCCTTGCATGTGCCAGTGGGGCATGCTGTGTTTTCCTCTAGCATGTTCTCAATAGTTAAAAGATGATGATTAAATATGATTAATGCAAATCAGGATTTTGCAATTTTTCATTAATGAAGGGCAAATGGATGCAAATGGTATTATTCTTTCTCTTTCCTGCCTCTATGACGCGATGGTCCTGCAGATGTCTTGTCACTTCTGTTCGTCAAAGCAGTCGCCACTGCGTGATGGGTTCATATCTTTTGGGGCCTAGCAGCTCTGGCAACCGCTCAAGTTGATAACCCGTGTTTTTGGCTGGTCAAATATAATTTTCTTCCAGATTCTGGTGACATGATGATGATTATTAGTATATAATTACAATAATAATAATAATTATTATTATTATTGTATATATTATGTAACATATATATATAATATAATATTTAATATAATATAATATAATATAATATCTAACAATTTGTTGTTGATTAAGTTGATTATGGGTTATTCCAATATATTTCCCGATGTTGTTCGGATATCTACCAGCCAAAATCGCCGCGGTATCTGTCAGGTGCCCATCGCCCCTCGGCCTTCAGAGAGGCCCCGAGATTCGCGTGCGTCTGAGGGGAGGCCTAGTGCCGTTCCGGGCGGCGCCCCGCGACCTTTGAGCATGGTACTCTGCTCAGTGCCATGGCGTATGGATATGGCAGGAGAAACAAGGGGAGATACCCGGATACCATGTATGAAAATGATGGTGAATTTTGATGGAGGTTAATCTTGGGATTTGGGGAATATTCTGGTCGCTTCGCGACGACAACCGCACGCACCGGAGTGTTAGCTCCGAAGTTGCAATAAAACACAGGGCCAGTTGCGCCTATGGGCCAGTTGGGACCATGTTGGACCTATGTTGGGCCCATGTTTATTGGGCCATGTTGAGCCTGTTGAGCCCAAGTTTGGCAACTTAGCCGATTTTAGGTTTCTTTTAAAAAACGCGGAAAAACACAGGATTCTAGAGCAATAAAGCCACCCCCCAAGTTGCTTCCGGTTAATGCGTGCACACAGAAAACGCCTCGGCACCTTCGGTGCGGGTGGATTTGGGGAGAAGTTGAGACAAGCCCACAATGCACCAACAATGAATTGATCGAAGAGAAGTGTGAAAGGAAAACCATGGAACAAACGGTTTGTTACTATGTTTTACTCTGTTTTACTGGTAAAGTAAAATAGTTTTACTATGTTTTACTGTGAGGTACTGTATATAATATAGGGGGTTCCTGTAAACTTTCCTTCAAGCAGTGCTGGGAAACAAAGCAGCAGGGCCGTTCAGTGCATTGTTCACTGCCATCGTTTTCTCAGCAACATGTAGCTTGTAGTTGTGGAGTGTTATGGATGTTCATACAAGTATGGAGAGCAGCGAGCTCTGACCCGTCGCGATTTTAGAACAACCTCCAAGTCAAGGTGTCGCTAGGTGGTTTTGGATTAGTTTGGTTTCGCATCATTTGCAGTGAGCTGGTATCTAGCCTGCGTAGGCGCAGCTTTTTGACATGGAGTTGATGGCTTGTAGTCCGGGAATTTAGTTGCTGATCACAGTGTTCATGATATGCAAATCTGTTGAACATTGAATTTAGATATTGGAATTTGTTTCCATTTGTTCATCCGGGATTTGGGATTGATTGACAAGAGATTCAAGAGATGTTGCTTTGTACTTGAAATCAGTTGCAGCACTTTGATAGTCAGGGTTGAACTATGTAGTGGAAGACCTCAACAAAAGGTAAGGCCCTCGCTTTAGACCGCGATGATCCTCAGCTAGTAGATGATCTACATCAACTGAATCAACTTCATCTACATTGTGTACAGCACTGCATCTCGTACATCTCTTCTATATCCTTTACATCATCTACATCATCTACATCATCTACAGTATATCATATCTACACCACATACATCCTTTACATCATCTATATCAACTTCATCTACATCACCATCATTATCAACATCAGCCACAACAACTTTATTAACATCATCAACATCAACTCTACCTAAATAATTAAACCCAAAATGGCTAGTTGAGTTTAAGGACTCCCAAGGCAAGAGACTAGTAAGAGCCATTATGGTTGAAAGCATGATGTAAGGAAACAGTCCCTAATGGCGCCTTTTTGGTACACACGTCACTTTAGAACGCGTAACCTCCCAAGGTGCTGCGCCTGTCATCAGTAGCCATGATGCCCTGTTTTTGGGCTGTGTTCTGAAGTGATGGCTGACATGGTGTCCTAAAGTTATGAAACATGGTTGTGTTCTAAAGTGGTGGTTTTCATGGTGTTCTGAACAGATTCTTTTACCGGCGTTACGGCATCTATAATCCTGATTGGGCTTGACACGAGAAGGGATCAAAGTAAAAAATAAAATACATGAACTGAGAGGTGTTTTCAATCATTGTATATTGTCCATCCGCCATTTGCGATGATGATGATGGTGATGATGATGATGATGGTGATGATGGTGATGATGATGATGATGATGATGAAAGATCGCCTATATTTTTGGGTGGTTTCAGTTGGCTCTTGAGCCCCTTTTCCCCCAAGGATCTCCTGGTCCAAGACGGCCTGGAGTGCACCCTTGTCCTCCCACGCTTGGCGGCGCTGAGCACGCAGCTTGTCCGAACGGATGCGGCCTGGACTTCAAAACGAACATTGCAACGGAGAACCCCCGTGGACTTAAAATGGGTATGGATCAATACCTATTAATACATATTAATACCATTTTTAGGGGGATGAACATCCATTTACCAGCTATTTTGATGTTCACCAGGGGTACAAGGTTTTGACACACTGCCAAATGAATCTAGCCATAAATGACGAGAGAAATACAAGAGTCAAGTACAGGGATATTTTTAGGGTGACGAATATCGATGTCCTTTGAATGCATATTAGTAGTTTCTCTTCCAGTCTGCGAGCGAAATGGCCCCTGCTTTCGAGAATCTCAGGAATGCTCAAGTGAATGTCTCCGACACGAAAGGTGGAGCAGTAAGCCTCTCAGGACATGACAAGCCACGAGACCTGACAATGAGAAACCACAATAACCTCAATCAGAACGATTGCCTATCAGTGTGTTGCCGCAGTGTTGCCCACTAGTGGGCACTAATGGATGCTAGTGGCATCATTGGTTGTTTGATGAACCCCAGCCATTGCTGTCTCAGGTTTTTCGTATCAAGTTCTCTTTGATTCCTGACCGTGATGGTACCAGGCGCAGCCATGACGCCAAGCCATGATGTGTCGCAGTAGGATGCTGCCTTCCAAGAGGTTTTGGTGGTGGATGGAACTGTCGACCGTTTGGCATAAAGCGTGCTCGGAGTGATCTCTCAACTTAGTAAGAGTTCTGAACAATTACCAACAGAAACTCTGTAGATTAGGAAGATCTATGATGGCACCATCCCACAAAAACCCAGTGCTGTGAATGATGCCACCATGCGCACAGGCTGGTCATGTCCAACCAGAGCGGAGATATGACCTTCGCAACAGCTTCGGATAGCCGGACGGTCAAGGCATATTGGGCACAAATGAGCCTGGGGTACTGATACAAACCTTGCCAGTCAGTTTTTTTTGGATTTTTGGGGATATAGAATGATAGAAATATATAGAATGATGGTATGGAATGACACGGTACATACATATAGAAATTGATAGAGATGCACTATAGGTGGTTACTTATATCATGTTATGTCGAGTCATGTCATATCATGTCATGTCACTGTACACCATACTTCATTACAGTACATCAATTGCGAACATCTGATGTAACCTTGAGAGATCGATTGTGGACAGGCTGGTGCTGCGCAGCAGCGATCGCTGTCCATAATGAACCCCAAGGCCGCATGGCCGCATGATGCACATCAGACAGGTCCATGACAGGTCCATAAAGATCGAGTCTCGCGGATGCTGGGGATGCTGGGGATGCTGCATATTTCGGATGAACATTTTCAGAAGTACCAAGTAATACCAGGTAACTGCCAGCTGCCAGCTATTGGGGGTTCAGCAAGGTGTTCAGCAAGGTGTTCCATTGACTTGACCCATGGCCAGATGGGAAAATACTGGCCCTGCACAGGACCCTTCCAGACAGTACTTGCTCGAAGACAAGTCTGGTGGAGACTTTCAGGTGTCCAACACATCGGGCCAATTTATCCGTTCCTTGTTTGACGTGATTTCGAATGTCTTCCATCCTTGCTGTTGAGTCCGATTCAAGACCATGGTATCATGAGGATTTCACCAACCCACTTATCCACTTGCAAGTGGCTGGTCATTCATAGTCCCTCAATCCATCTCAATCCCCTTAATCATTTCTTGATTCTTGTTCTTGTCATTTGGGGAGCTTCACCTTTGGTGGAGCCTCAAATCCCACATGTTGAGCATCGACGGCACTGAGGATTCATCTCCATCCCTGGCGGCTTCAACGCCATTGATGACCAGGACCAGTTGCTAGCCTTCCTAGACCCACCAGTGCGAAATAATCCAGGACAAGTGGTCATGGCCTCAGAAGATGCTGAGAAATCATGCGGAAGATCTGACGTTGAAAGATGCCACACAATCCCAGAAAATGCAAGAATTTAAGAATCAAATTGATTAAATCAGGAATCAAATGTGAGAAAATATGAGAAATCAGTATTTCTCAAGGATAAAATTGATCAAATGCCAACATGCAGTTCAAATCTGTTTGGGACTTGAGGCCCGAATTGGGCCTTTGGTGGATGTTGGCCTCATAGTGATGTGACATGGCTGAAGTTGGTGAAGTGTCAAGCTTTGGTGCCACTGATGTAAAACGTCCAAAACGTCAAACCCTGGGACTATCTTGCAGCTTACCCCTTGCAACCAACGCAACCAAGGTGTTTCTTGGGAATCGGTGTCCTAACAAATGACAAGGAAAAGCAGCTGGGAAAGAAGTAGGCCAAACGGCGACGCAGCTTTCCCCAGCTTTCCAAGAGGAGCCACGAGCAACTCCTGCGTGTCACTTGTGAAAAGGTGGCAGCTGCGGCCGACGGTAGTGCAGGGACATGATCGTCTCGTCAGTATCAGTGTGTTCACAGCCACGGGGTACGATATATTCACACAAAATAAATGTCATCCTCATCATCAGCCAGCACCAGCATCATCATCATCATCATCATGATGATCATCATCATCATCATGATCATGAGTAGCAACATTTTGACCCAGCATCTACGTGAGCACACGACATTGCCAGAGGTAAGTGTGCCGTATGCAACGCTTTGTGTGTCAAACCTCCATCTCGATGCAGTCGGCACCTTCTATTCTGCTCGTGCTCCAGGTCCCTTTCATACACAACTGTGGGCACAAGAACTGTGCAACAGAGAGCCATAAAAGATATAAAAGATCTCCATGCCATGTCTCACACCACATCATCAATCATCATCGCATGCGTGATTCAGTGTGAATAGCATTGAATAGCATCAAAGACCATTCACTCATACGACACATTTATTGACAACTTTGCTTCACTGCTCTGGAGACCTTGCCAGCAACTGTCGCCATGGCAGAGGACAAGAGAGCACCTTGCTTGTCACATTTCTGTCATTGAAATGTTTTGTTGGTGCTGCTACAGTGCCCAAAGATTGCATGGATCATCATGCTCTTGAATGATCTTGATGTGTTTCGGTGCAGTGTGGTTGTGTTTATGGTTTTCTTGGTTGCTGAGGAATGCGTGAAAGTTGTGATCAGATGCCGGCCTATGAGCAGACAAGAAACGATAGACAACCGGGAGAAAATTGTGGACATGGAGCCTTTTTTGCAGCACAGAAATTACGATACGGTTTAGGGTCTCTACAGTCTTTACACAACACCTCGTCGAGGGGCATGGCACTCTTTATGAGTCAGATCCTTCATGAGATTTCATTTTTTTTCTTTGCCCAAGGACATCCAGAACGGACTAGCCCGAGTTCGAAGACCGGGAACAAACGACTACAAAGATTTCACCTTTGATGCAGTCTATGATGAAACTGCAGTGCAAACTGACTTCTATGAACATACCGGCTATGCCATTGTCACCAGCTCAGTTCTCATTCACTTGCAAACCACAAAAAGTACAAATGTATGTGCCATGCTTCAAGGGGTGGAAAAACTATGAAAAACTGGTGTAGTCATTAATTTTGATGGCGTAAGAAAAACTGGGAGCCGCTTTGGTCATTGGAGATACGAGGGCATCACTCCCCAACTGCATGGGGCTCGCACATGGGGCCTCGCTCGCGCCTTGCTCAGGTCGAGAGTTGCTCAATTGCACTTGGCACAGAGGAAGGAATGCCATTGGGTCAAAAGATGTCAAAAGATGTGAAAAGGATCAGGTGCAAAAGCATCAGGTGTATCAGGATTGCTCAGGATTGTCCAGGGCCCATCAGGGCCCCTGAAATTGAAAGGATAGGTATCGCACTGACCTCCTTGCCGCTCCAAGGCGTCATGGATGGCTACAACGGCACCATTTTCGCCTACGGCCAAACTGGTACAGGAAAGACCCACACCATGGTGGGCCCTGCAGAGCCCGAGGAAGACCGGGGCGTCATCCCAAGGGCCTTTGGGCACGTCTTCCGGAAACATGGCATGATGATATGACATGATATGACATGATCTGTATGGAGACTGTAATCTTAACCCTGGATTTGGTTGAACCCCCAGTTGATTCATATAGATGTTGATATTGATATTCGATGATATTCGATATTAATAGGGGGTTGCCAGTTTTCATATAGTTATCATCACGTGTCACTATTTTGATCTATTTTGGAGGTAACCCCATCAATAGTCGTGTCCATGGTCCAATTGGCTGTGGCAGCTAGTGATTTGATGATATTTGATGCAACTGGTGACTGATTTGGATGTTTTGGTGGAACAGTGTGGAACCGTGGAACAAGTCCATATTGGACTGAGAGGGAGACATAAGATTCGGATCTTCAAGCCAAGGTGGCTGGCTCAGTCAAACATGTCACAGCCGGGGTTGTGAGAAATGTCTTCATACGCCCAGGAACGTGGATGTTGGTGGCAATCGAACTTTTCTTGTCCGTGCATCCTACCTGGAGATCTACAATGAAGAGTGCCGTGGCTGAAGAGACCAGGGGCAGCGATCCTGTTGCTGTTGCTGGGTGGTTTTTGGGGGACTTGCTGCGCACTCTGTGCTGCATCAAGTTGTATGCTGCTGTAGTGTTTGACTTTGTCCATTCCCTGTCCGTCCAGGTCCTCGCAAGACCAGGCGTTGACAAACGAATACTAACGACCCGGGTTACTGAGGTCTTTGGGACTGAGGTCTTGTCTATTTCATCAATCTTGATATCTTGTTTTTCCAGACTTAGCCAAGCAGGGTCCCAACATGTCCCAACCCGAAGATATCCTCATGTTAAGTTTGATAATTGAGGGCACGCCTTCACAATTCGCGAAATAGTGAAGCCCAGAAAAAAGACGTGAAAAGGATCGAAAAGGCCGTGGAAAACCAACGAAATCAGGTTTGTACAAACTGGAGAAAGTCTCCTTCAGAATTCACCGCGATCAATTCTTAGAATACATGCTTCCGCTGTATATGACTGTATGGTGCAGAAATTGTGAGTCCTTTCGCTATATGATTATATGATATTGATTGAATTTGATTGATATGATATTTGAATATATGAAATTAGCTTTTTGAAGCATTTCATCAATTGTACCTTTATTCAAACGGCCCTCTTCAACTTGTCCTTCCCTGGGATTCAATGTGGGATGTTTTGTCGAGGTAGTTTTCCCGCTTTTCATGAAGCCATGGCCTGAGTCGGACGCCTTCATAGCTTAGGATCAGGGACCTCTTGTCCAAGAATCCGAAGCAGAAACTGGACCTGAAGGATCATCCGGACGGTGGTGTGTATGTTAAGGACCTCACCATCATGATCGTCAAAGGTGTTCGTGACCTCCAGCAAGTGATGGAGGTGCAAACGCAAAGAAGATGGTCACAAAATATTAGGGAAAAACACCTTCGAAGGGTCAGAGAGGTTGGTTTCCAGCCAGTTTACCGCAATGGTATCTTAAAACCGAAAACATCTTCAAACCATGTTCACTGAACCATGTTCTGAGCTTGTTTTCCCAGCCTGGACTAAGAGATTGTATGAGATTGTAATGCTGACATGTGCTGACTTTTTGGCAAGGTGGGACAAAAGAACCGCAGTGTCGCAAGCACCCTGATGAACAACGAGTCCAGCAGATCGCATTCGATTTTTACGGTCACGGTGGAGATTCTGGAAAAAGGACAGGCGTGCTGTGATCCATTGGGATGATTTGGGAAAATCTACAGGAAACCATGTTTTTTTGCAATCAATCAATTTCCCCTTGGAGCCTTAAATCAGTCCAATGATGTCCAATGAGTATAGTAATCAATCAATAATCAATCCCGATTTCATGCACCTTCTCATTCGTTCCCGCATGCTGTGAGATTTGTGAGGATTGGATGGCCAAGATCACGTTCGGGTTGGAAAGATGAACATGGTTGATTTGGCCGGTTCAGAACGGCAAAGCAAGACCGGCGCCACCGGAGACACATTGAAGGCCTGAACAGATGGAACGTCCTAGGGAGAGCCCATGAACGATCATGAAGTCCAAGCATGATTCGAAGCATGTAGCGTGATGAATCGTGAGTCAATTTTGACTCCCTGGGTTTTCAATATTCAATAATGGGATGTCCATTGGTGTCCTAAAATGGGGGCAGACCCCAATCATGTAATTTAATTTAATTAATATAATTAATTTATATGATTTCCCATTAGAAGCATCCATTTTGAGGTATTATATCCTTACTTATTTATGGAACCCCCATATGTTTTAAGATGCCAGGAAGCCACGAAGATCAACATGTCCTTGAGCGCCTTGGGCAACGTCATTTCAGCCTTGGTGGATTCCAAGACCTCCTTCATCCCCTACCGTGATTCAAAGCTCACCAGACTGTTGCAGGAGATTTGTGCTTGAATATTAGTCAAAATATGTCAAAATGCTTGAACATAAACTGTTTTAACATAAAACGCAAACATCATTTCCCGATATTTCATGAGCATTTGGTGGTATTTGATGGTTTTTGTATACATGTCCAGAAGCTACAACCTGGTAGAATTGTTTTTCACCAAAAACGCTCAAAGACAGACTTCGTGCCAAGCTTGTCCTTGCAGGATTCGCTGGGTGGCAACACCAAAACGGTGATGTGCGCTTGCATAGGTCCCGTCGACTACAATTACGACGAGACCCTCAGCACCCTTCGTTATGCACATCGTGCCAAGAGCATTAAAAATAAGCCGCGGATCAATGAAGATCCCAAGGACGCCATGATACTTGTCAGAAGGATGATAAGGGAAGGACAGGAAGTCGCCTATGACCTCTTCTGTCATCTTTGGTCCTAGTTGATCTTCTCTGATATGTTCTCAATTCCACCTCAGGAAAGCGATGGTTGACTTGCATGCCGAAGCTTTTTTAAAATCACCCCAAACCCTTCGCCACCTAGTGCACATCACTACATGAAAGAAATGAAGGACACAGAGCTCTTCGAGTGTCATGTACAGTATCATGTCATCCAGAATCCAGATTTAGTGCTTGCAGATCAGCATGCCATTAGCCAAGGATCCGAGAGTTCCAAGATGAAATTACCAGGCTCAAAATGCAGTTGGAAAAGCGAGGAGGTCCTGGTAGCCCACCAAGACCGCCTCCACAAGAGGGCGACGATGTGGTGGTTGAGACTGAGGTAGTGGAGGTTGAAAAGTCTCTTGGAGCTGTTTATGGCACATCAATTGGATAGTTTTTCCTGGGTGATGATCTGAGGCTAGAACTATTGGTGGATATTGGTGGTCACGGCAAAGAGCCACCAAATGTTTTGGGGGCGGTAGGGGCTAGCGTTGTGACGTTGCACACAGTCTTTCCCCAAAGTTGGTGACAACCACTTCCCCAAGAAACAAATACCAACTTTAAAAAAACTTACAGCCTGGTGAAATGCATTGGATCTAGTAATCTAATGTAATCTACTAGTATGATCTAGTCATTTTGGGGCCCATCTCAGGAAATTTGACATGATCAGGGGATGGGTTTGCCAAACAACGGGACGCCCCTAACGATTTTTGTGTTGATCGAATCATTTTCCCCATTAAATTGGCATGTTCGGAATGCAAATACCATACTACTATTACGGCAAGACCCTGAGGTTTGCCCGGACTCGCAACGAGTGTTCGGGCATGATGATGGTGATGATGATGATGATGATGATGATGACCACCAATATGCTCCGCATAAACAATGTATTTAACCCTTATGAAAGATCTTCAATGAATGGAAGAGTTTAACGGAGGTTGGAGCATTAAACCCTTATTGAAGAATCTTCAATGAATGTAGAAGTCTAACCGGGGTATACCGGGGTGGGAGAATTAAACCCTTATTGAAGATCTTCAATGAATGGAAGAGTTTAAGGGGGGTGGGAGAATTAAACCCTTATTGAAGAATCTTCAATGAATGTAGAAGTTCAACGGGGATGGGAGAATTAAACCCTTATTGAAGATCTTCAATGAATGTAGAAGTTTAACGGGGGTGGGAGAATTAAACCCTTATTGAAGATCTTCAATGAATGTAAGAGTTTAACTGGGGTGGGAGGATTAAACCCTAAGCGTTTTTGAAGATCTTCAATGAATGTAGAAGTTCCACGGGGTGGGAACATTAAACCCTTATTGATGATTGATGATCTTCAATGAATGTAAGAGTTTAACGGGGTTGGGAGAATTAAACCCGTATTGAAGATCTTCAATGAATGTAAGAGTTTAACGGGGGTGGGAGAATTAAACCTTTATTGAAGATCTTCAATGAATGTAGAAGTTCAACGGGGATGGGAGAATATAACCGTTATTGAAGATCTTCAATGAATGTAGAAGTTTAACGGGGGTGGGAGAATTAAACCCTTATTGAAGATCTTCAATGAATGTAAGAGTTTAACTGGGGTGGGAGGATTAAACCCCAAGCGTTTTTGAAGATCTTCAATGAATGTAGAAGTTCCACGGGGTGGGAACATTAAACCCTTATTGATGATTGATGATCTTCAATGAATGTAAGAGTTTAACGGGGTTGGGAGAATTAAACCTGTATTGAAGATCTTCAATGAATGTAAGAGTTTAACGGGGTGGGAGAATTAAACCTTTATTGAAGATCTTCAATGAATGTAAGAGTTTAACGGGGGTGGGAGAATTAAACCCTTATTGAAGATCTTCAATGAATGAAAGAGTTTAAGGGGGGTGGGAGAATTTATATGATATGTGTAGTGTGAACAAAAAATCCTTTTAATAATTTACGCTATTCTGGGCTTGGGCAAACCTCGGGGTCTGTGTGTAGTATTAGTGTTACTAGTATCTACTAGTGCCATGTAATACTCATTTCTTGGCAAAACCACACTGCATTTGTTCGGGTTGAAATGGAGGATCGTTGAGAAGGAAGTGGTAGTGGAGAAGGTGATCAATTCTGGCCTAACGGATGAGGATGTGCGCCGTCTCCAACACCAGGCAAGATGGGGAGGAGTATGAGTATCCATTGGGATAATTTGTTGATAATGCGCGGAACCGGAATACCATGGAATACCCACCCGAGTAAAACTAAAGACATCTTAATTAAGACAGGAGAATCCACGGAACTCCTTGCAGCCCTTCTGGAGATGCTTTGTTGTTCCCGAAGCCTGTTGAAAGATGCTGGAAGCGCTTTGAAAGCTAGGATGGCCAGAACATACCTGAGGAATACTGAGGAGCTGTTTATGCCCACTTGTTTTTGTTGGTGACATGCCAATGTCCAGTTAAACCAGTAGACACCAGTAGACTTGGGCGCAAGGTGGAGGCAGAACATTTGGAGATCGAACGGCAGCTTCAGTTGGAGAGAGAGGCAATTGAAGCCCAGAAGGAGCAGCTACCCCAGATTCCAACGCGCTTCGGAGATGTGTGCATGATCAAAATTCAATGGGCAGAAATTGCAATGTGTGTGAGGCACTTCTCAGTTGAAGCAAATCTGTAATTGCCTTATTTGAACATATACTGGATATTACTGGATATACTTGAATTCCATTCTGTCGGTGAATGTTGCTTTAGTCGGGCATATGGCATTCTCAACCCACTGTGTGGGACATCAGAGCTGATCACAAGCAGCATCAGGCGGCGCCAAGAATTCGCTTGATGAGGGTTTGCGATGTTTGCAGTGAGATTTTATTTGGTTGCATGCTTGTGACAAGCTGGCTCTGTTGGGACTACTGTTTTCCCGTCTTTTGTCCATCCCTTTCCAGCGGAAATCTGTGGCAAGATCCGGTTGGATCAGGAACCATGATCTCTGGATTTATGGATTTCATAAGTTGGCACTCTGGCAGCCTGGCACTGGACATAGCATTGCAATCAATGCTTAAAGATCTATCATTTAAACAACGGTCACCACTGTGGATTTCGGTCAGATCTAAGTCTAAGTTTGTGCGCTGGTGTTTGCCAGCAGTTTATGTGTACACATTGCTCACAATCTCCTACATGCAACATATCACAACATGTACAGCATCTACAATCAACGTTCATCAGATTCAACCAAACACACCACCATACACCGCCTATCTTTCGAAATGCTGCAGCGCAGGAAATGGCTGACCAGGAGAAGCAGCTCCTATTGGAAGCGCTGGAGGAGAAGCAGAAGCAACGAGAACAAGAGGCCCAGCTGCAGGAAAAGATGCTGCAGCAGCTGAAGGCGAGCGGAGCATGTGTTGGAAGTTGGGTAAAACATGGTGGTTCTCGAACCATAAAATACAACAAAGCTTTCTGCAAGCTATTTCTGGAACATTGTGCGGTGGTGTATCATCCAGTGTGCCACATAAATCATAGCTATTGGCGCATCTCCATTGTCCAATGGCTTGGTGAAGATGATGCCCTGACTCCAAGAATCCAAAAGCACGGCCTGACCATTGGGCAACTTGATCACTAGTTTTGTGATGTTTAGTATTCTTTTGAACCTATTCCATATGTATTGGTCATGTCACTGATTGTGTATTTGTTTCTTTCAACTTGCCATGGGTAAGTTTGGAGTTGAGTGTTACTTGTTTTGTGATAATTGTCATTGTTAATGGTGCAAAAAGTTTATCAGAACAATATACCGATCGTTGGTCCTAGATTTATAGGTGTTGTTGTTGTTGTTCTTATGGTATGTTATGGTCATTATATACATATTTTTTTGAGATCATTGGTTTATATGTATACACCCGGAAGCCCATATTTTCTTCTTTGCATGGGCATTCCCATGTTTTAAAATACGTATCCGTATACGTATATATATATATATACATAGATAGTTACGGAGCAAGGGTTGGCAAAAAATCAGGTCTTGAAACCCTTCACTCGCTCTTTGCGATCTTGTCGGAAACCCCTATTGATCCTATTGTGCTCAGACCCGAGCCCGCTTTTCAACTTGGTTATATACGGTTTTTTGAAACAATGTTGAAATAACATAGCAGTTACGAGTAGCTGGAAGCAAGCATTTGCCCGAACCACCAGTAACTACTGTAACTAGTAATTAGTCGGGCGCATATTTGACCATATTTGGATATATATATATGTGTATATATATATGTGTGTGTGTGTGTGCATAACCCACTTGGAACTTGGTCAAATTGTGTCACTAAAGAAAAGAAATCATTGTTATTGCCAAGTATTGCTAAAGTATATCCAACCAACCAACTCCAACTATAACCCTGAGTTAATGTTAGCTATTGATGGTATATAATTGGTTAATACAGTTGATTGAGTATATTGTATACATATAGCAAGTCAACCAACTATAATATACTATGATTTGCTGTAGTTACAGTGTATAGCCACCACAAAAAAAGAGAGATGTCGGACACCTGGAAAGGATAGGACATTACATCATTTGTAACATCCTGGATTGGTTTTCCATTTTTTGGGACCGCTATACTTGTCTTGGGATCTTAACTTCGTTCTTCGAGTTTTAGTGTAAACATGGCCATATCTTAACAATTATATAATTGTTTAGTGTATAGTAAATATTGCAAAGTTCTAACTACAGTAATTTTTACTATACATATACAATACATGTACTAAATATCTTTGTAAGATCTTACAAGTAAGTTAAGTATTTAATAGTCAGTACATTGCTACATATCCGCAAATACACTTACTTTCTTCAATATGTTATTAAATATTGCCATAAATTGTTGGTTCTTTGGTTTTTCCATTTTTTTCCAACGCTACAGGCCATGGAAGAGAAGATGTTGGTGGGTAGTCAGGTGATGGAGAAGGCCATGCAGCGCCTCGGCCAAGCGACCAAACGCCAGTTGTGAGGTGAATCGGTTCATCGTTAATCATATCAATATTACTGTATGATATCAATGCGGATATTAGTATAATATACATTAATATACGATATACATCTATAACTTATGTATATATATATGTGTGTGTGTGTATGTGTGTGTATATATGTTATATATATATATAGAGAGAGAGAGAGGTTGGAAATGGGTGTGAAATGGGTGTGAAATGGGTGTGAAATGTAGGTTCATGTGCCAACAATCCTGGGTGGTTGAGGGTGGTATGTCGTGAAGAGATTTCTTGGAGGTTCTGTTTGGTCATCTTCAAACTTGCAGAAAGGAAGCTGCCGGAACCTCCACGGATAGAGGTGAAACAGGTGAAACACCATGAGGGCGGACGGCAGACATGATGGGGATCTAATAGGGATTATTATGCAAAGATCAGGGGGCTGCCCGTCACCAACCAAGAAGTTTGGGGATGAATTGTTTCTATTGTTTTGTTTGTGATGTCCCCTACAATATAGAAGGACTCCCGCCCCTAATATGATATACATACTCCACAACCCCCAGGTGCTGGAATGTGTTGGATCTATTTATGAATGCCCGAGTCATGAGGGGGTAGGGGATGGGATTAATAGGAGTTCACATTGTTAGCATTTATCAACCACTATTGATGGACATTCACACATTCCAAACTGGACAGTAAGCTCTCTTATAGTAAGACTATAGTGGATATTAAGCAAAAATTGAAGCACCATTCAACGTTTTTTTATTGATATTCATTCCAAGACAGCAACCAGTAATTAGATGTAATTAGTGGATATAAAGCATTGTTAATTGTTCTATGAATGGAGAAATTCCCCATTCATGGATATATTTAATGATATTTATGGATGGATATTCCCATGAAACACCATTGAAAAAGGGGATAGCGTCCGAGGCAAGAGGAGGACCTGCGGCGTGCGGCGATGGAGGTGGAGGAGAAGAAACGCGAGCAGCAGCGAATGTACCTCGGCGGTCCTCGGGTGATCCTCAGCTGTTTTTTCCCGATTCATGTGGATTAATGTGATTAATCTGTGAATCATGTAAAATCACCATATTTGGGATGAAACTCCTGCTAAACATGGTAGGTTGTAACTATCAAGTCCTCCGAACATTTGGATCATACCTGAAGCGACTCAAACAAAGTCTGAAAAAGTGTAAGACTCTTCCACGCTTCCTGCTACCCTCCCGTAGGTTCCTCTAGAGTTTGTTTAGCAAGGCTTGGGTTGGTGAAATCCACGAAGAATGTATCAAATGAAGACCATACTCAGCGGGTTGATCAAAGGGAGGCTATTTCCAGTGCCAGGTGAGATGTTGCCAGAATGTAAATCCATAATTATGCGAGTGACCTCGCTGCGACTTGACTGGGGTGATGGTCAACAACTTTTAGGTTGGCGAAAAAATGCATTTATCAAATTTATCATCATGAATTCCATATTCATTCATATTTACGGTACCCAGCCATATTTATCCATATGTTTATCCACATGTTTATCCATTGGCGCCAGACAAGTTACTTAGTCAGACAGAGGCGCGAGGAGCTGGAGCAACAGCAGGAGGAAAAGTTGGAGCTGGAGGAGAAGTATAGCTCCACTGAAGAGCAGGTGTGGTTGATCTACCCATCAGAAAAACCATTGAAAAACCACTGAAAAACCACTGAAAATCTGAAGATTCTACCCCTATGGAAACTATGGAAACCCCTGTTGGTTGATGATGGTTGATGATTAGTGAAGGAAGATTATACTAAGATATACGGACACCATATCTAATCACGAAATGTGGAGAATATAATGATTAGTTGGAGGATTACTGTTGATGATGGTTGATGATTAGTTGGAGGATTATACTGTATACCACATCTAACATCATCTAGTGGGGAACATATATATATATGTATATATATGAATATATCACAGTCACAATCCATTAAATCTGCTCCCTGAGAGTTTTTAGGAGGAAATGGGAAAAGGCCACGAAAAAAGACACATAGGATAAAAGCGGGAGGTGTTTTTTTTCCAAAGTTGAAAGAGGAGGACAGGACTCAATGAACAGCACAGTCGCTGGTGATGTGCCACAGATGTCCAATGCCATTTCTCTCTTGGCATAGAATGGCCGCTTGCACAGGTTCAGAAGATGACTGCAAAACTGGAGAAGCTCTGGAATCGTCACAAGCAGACCCAGGAAGAGGTACAAGACCTCCAGCAGGAGTTCCAAACCGAAAGGGAGGACATGCTGGATACCATCCGGGATCTCCGGAAAGAAGTGAAGTTGGTTTGCCTGACCATTGAAAATTTCATCCCCATGGAACAATATCAGCAGATCGTTGAGCGTGCGCACTTCGATGAATCCTCGGATGAATGGGTCATCAGCAATGTGGACCTGGCAGGAAATCGCATCCGAAGGAGAGGCCGCATGCTGGATGATGATGGCCGTCGCCGGCCTGGAGGGGATGGCAGGGATGGCAGCCCTGACCCTGTGGCCATGATGAACGAACGTCCCAACGTCTACTTCGCCTATACCGAAGATGGTGGGGCCCAACGGGCTGAGACCAGGCCCCAGGCCAAGCAGAAGAATGGGAAGTCGCAACGCGTGAAGTCCGCAGGACGTCCAGGGACTGCCTCCAGGAAAGGGCGCGGGGTGAAACAGCAGGCGGTAGGCATCAACTTTGTACACTCCCCGGATCCCATTGAGGATGTGGAGGAGGCAGCCTTCCCCAAAGCACGCGGCTTGGTGCGAGCTGGGTACCAGGGCTAAGCCGCTAAGCCCCACGTGCTGGAAGTACAGGTCTAGCAGGTGAGCCGCTCGCAGATTTCCTCAAATTCGCTTTTGCCGTGATAGCTCGTAGACTCCGAGTTCAATGATTTTACTGTTCCAAAGGGTATCAGATGGTATCAGTATAATGGCAGGGTATGCAGTGTTATCAATGTTCGTAGCCAGCAATGGTCCCCAGCAAGAGTCGACAAATCAGTGGACACTCATGCATGTCCGGCCCCATCAAAGAGCCGGCTATAGTCATCACATTCGTTTCACGCGATCTTATGCCCGGGCTTCTCGTGCGTGATAGACTAGGAGAGAAACTTCGGCAGTTGATTTGCTCACCCATTATATTGTTTGGTGATGTTTGGTGAGCCCATTTCTAAAGAAAGTACTCTTTACTCTTTACTTTTCATCCTGCCTGCGTTGATGACCCCTCCCCTTTCCCATCCTTTACCAACTGGGATTTGAAACCACCAGTCAGATCACCTTGGAAATGGATGTTGGAGCCCGAACACGCCGTGATTTTTTTTTCGCCCAGCGGCGCTGCACATGGGTAGCCGATAGAGTCCCACTACACTGGGCCCTACCTACAGCAGCGGAATTCGTGTCTCACAAGTACCATGTGCTTCAACACCAGTGTGGATGCAATCGGCCCAAAACCACCGCCATCAGGTTGCACAGCCCCGTGGGGATTGCAAAGCACGACATGGGGAAGCTAATCTCTTGAATCAGCCGGGATGTAGTGAACCATGGTGAAGATGGGTGAAGATGCATGTGAAGCTTGAGGTATGGCATGTTATGTTTGGAATGATTTGGAATGCATCAGCTGATTTTGGGCTCCAATTGGCCAGTGTGCCACTGGCACTGGTCGCAGTTGCTGATGACTCTGGGAGTTCAAAAAACAATCCAAAAAACCAGTGCAGGCTGGACATGTGTGGCCACGGGCACAGTTTGGTCCATCCAGCATACAAGGCTTGATATGGTGATTTAAGTGTCCAGTATCCAAGTTGTAGCACTTCATTTGCCAATGAACCAGGCAAGATGCGACGTACTGACTCGAATGGTTTCACGACGTGTTTCTTTTGCTTTTTTTTGTTCTCCTCCTCCTCCTCCTAATCATCATCATCATCATCATCATCATCATCATCATCATCATCAATGTCCAAGCGATCAATTGGCTCCACAGGCGAGGCTAAAGTGGCCCATGATCCTGCACCTGCCAGACTTCCCGATAACTTTACAGTGGACAAGGCTTGAAGACCTGCCAGATGTGGAATGCATGACGGCTTTAGTGTGCAGATGCAATATGATGCAATATGCATGAAGGATTAGAACGGATTCTAAAGGATGACCGGTGTCATCCCGTGTCTTATTGTTCGGCTCGAAAGAGATTGAAGCCTCAGACTCTGACACCACAGTTGTCTCAACTTCGGTGCGAGGATGCTCGCTACACGGGCTCAGCACCCTGGCATGGTGAGAGAAGCTGTGGCAAAGACCTATGGTTTGTTTGATGATTCACAATCCTCAACGATGCAGCTGGCTTCATGCTTTGCAGCGAACTCTGCATGCCTTCATTGTATGAACGAAACGAATATTTAGCAAACCAAAGGATGCAATTACACTGCAGTGTTAACGATGACTTGAATCGAACAATTTCATTGGCTGACTGCAGTGACTACATTACAGATCTATGTTATGTATTGTTATGTATTGAGATGCAAGTGATGTTGAAGACAACACGGTGACTGTGGCTTTGACTGGATACATAATGTTTGTTCTGTTTTTGGTCCTGCTCGGCAGCAGCTGCTGCATGTTGATTGTCACAGTCACGTCACCATCATTCGTTCCATCCTGCTGTCAAGTTTGACATGGTTGAAGTGGGCACCATCCATAAGCCATCTATTTTGTCAGATATGAGGTCATCGAGTTCAACAAATGGAGAGGTTTTGGCCACATTGCGGTGGATCAAAAGGCTTCGCGCTGTTGCATTGAGTCAGGATTGATGAGTCAAATAGATCTGTTTGAATCCTGGAATCAAGGCTAACGCCTGGTTCATCATCATTCATCCAAAATTCAGACCTGTTACCTTTTCATACTCGTACCTTTTTAACTTTCAATCGCTTGTTCTGGACATGACTTTGCAAGCGTGTTTTGAAACCAGTTTTTCTGAACTTTGACTGCAGGGTGTTGTGCCTGGCGAAGCTTGGATTTCATGGATTCATCATGGAATCATCAATGGTAGGCCCTGGGACATGCTGGTAATTTACGGGAAATTGATGCACTTGACTTGCATCACTTTGATGCACTTGCACCACTTGCACTTCACTTGCACCACTTGCACCACTTGCACCACTTGCACCACTTGCACCACTTGCACCACTTGCACCACTTGCACCACTTGCACCACTTGCACCACTTGCACCACTTGCACCACTTGCACCACTTGCACCACTTGCACCACTTGCATCACTTGCATCACTTGCATCACTTGCATCACGTGCATCACTTGCATCACTTGCATCACGTGCATCACTTGCACCACTTGCACCACTTGCATCACTTGCACCACTTGCACCACTTGCATCACTTGCACCACTTGCACTTGCACCACTTGCACCACTTGCACCACTTGCACCACTTGCACCACTTGCACCACTTGCACCACTTGCACCACTTGCACCACTTGCATCACTTGCACCACACCACTTGCACCACTTCACTTGCACCACTTGCACCACTTGCACCACTTGCACCACTTGCACCACTTGCACCACTTGCACACTTGCACCACTTGCACCACTTGCACCACTTGCATCACTTGCATCACTTGCATCACTTGCACTTGTGGCATGCATCACCACTTGCATCACTTGCACCACTTGCACCACTTGCACCACTTGCACCACTTGCACCACTTGCACCACTTGCACCACTTGCACCACTTGCACCACTTGCACCACTTGCACCACTTGCACCACTTGCACCACTTGCACCACTTGCACCACTTGCATCACTTGCATCACTTGCACCACTTGCACCACTTGCATCACTTGCACCACGTGCATCACTTGCATCGCTTGCACCACTTGCACCACTTGCACCACTTGCACCACTTGCACCACTTGCACCACTTGCACCACTTGCACCACTTGCACCACGTGCACCACGTGCATCACTTGCATCACTTGCATCACTTGCACCACTTGCATCACTTGCATCACTTGCATCACTTGCACCACTTGCACCACTTGCACCACTTGCACCACGTGCATCACTTGCACCACGTGCATCACTTGCACCACTTGCACCACTTGCACCACGTGCATCACTTGCATCACTTGCATCACTTGCACCACTTGCACCACTTGCACCACTTGCACCACTTGCACCACTTGCACCACTTGCACCACTTGCATCACTTGCACCACTTGCATCACTTGCATCACTTGCATCACTTGCATCACTTGCACCACTTGCACCACTTGCACCACGTGCATCACTTGCACCACGTGCATCACTTGCACCACGTGCATCACTTGCATCACTTGCATCACTTGCACCACTTGCATCACTTGCATCACTTGCACCACTTGCACCACTTGCACCACTTGCACCACTTGCACCACGTGCATCACTGGCACCACTTGCATCACTTGCACCACGTGCATCACTTGCATCACTTGCATCACTTGCACCACTTGCATCACTTGCACCACTTGCACCACTTGCATCACTTGCATCACTTGCACCACTTGCATCACTTGCACCACGTGCATCACTTGCATCACTTGCATCACTTGCACCACTTGCATCACTTGCATCACTTGCACCACTTGCATCACTTGCATCACTTGCACCACTTGCACCACTTGCACCACGTGCATCACTTGCACCACTTGCATCACTTGCACCACGTGCATCACTTGCATCACTTGCATCAATCACTTGCACCACTTGCATCACTTGCATCACTTGCACCACTTGCACCACTTGCACCACGTGCATCACTTGCATCACTTGCATCACTTGCATCACTTGCATCACTTGCATCACTTGCATCACTTGCATCACTTGCATCACTTGCATCACTTGCCACCGAGGACAAGGTCTTCGTGCACTGGAAAAATATTCAATCAGATGACCGGTTTCCTCGCTTACAGCAAGGATTGCAGATACTTGGCAGAGTTGCGACATGAAGGGGTGACCTCTAGGCATCTCTAGGCTGTAGCTGTAGCACCCTAGCCCAGTGGTGTTTTAGCGGAAAGGGTTCCAGTGGATCCCAGTGGATCCTCGTAGATCCAGCGTGTGCCGAGGGTTGAGTTTGGGCTTATGATCACCAATGACTGGCCGCTGGGCAGCAGAAATCATATGAAATCATGTCGCTAAACAGCAGAAAAATACAGGCTGCACCATGCTATAAATCCTCAGCCAAGGAAGGGATGGAACAGAGTGAGATGTTTGAAAGCCAAGACTTTGACTCTTCCTGGTGGAGGCACTGGACCGAGAATGTGGAGACTCAACTGCCCAGTGATATGCTACTAAAATCTACTAAAGAATAATAAATTAATAAACCATCCCCAAATCACCATAGGTGGTATAAACCATTCCCAAATGATCCCAAATGGCTGGTTTACTATTGTTTTACCGACATTATATATATATATATAGTTGATTTTTGTTGGGCTGGGTGTGACATGTTCTTTCCAACAGTTGGCCAGGCATGGTGAACATCCAAGACGCCATGGACGCTGAAAGCATGCAGAGCCTTGGCGGCTGAGGGACCACGCCCTGCCCAGCGATACCATGCAACCGCGGCCTGAGGTTTGTTGGAGCGCAAAACTTCCGCTACACGGGGACTGTAAAGCCTCTTGGATTCTACTGCAATATTTTTTAATCCAAATGAATCTACTTTAATCATCTTTAATCTATCAATATATCATTACAATCATTTAATATCAACAATATCCATTAAAAGAATGAAGCGTGTCAATCAAAGCTGCATGTTACCACGCACTCTCTTATGCCTATGGAATGCTAGTGACTTTGTTGACTTTGATGCGCTTGTGCCCCAGGTTCTTTGACCAGTTCCGTGGGTTTGGTTGGGCTCGAAGCTTAAGACTTCAATTGAGCACTGAGCATCACTGAGTAGTAGCTAAGAAAATGCGAATGCTGTTTCTTTGCTGTCAATATTTGCGAATGTTTGCTAAGTAGATCTATATAAGTAGTGCAAATTTCTGCATGCTATGAGTTCTTCAGAATATCTTAGAATGTACGAAGATTTCTCAGCCGATATGACTGGAATCCCAATCCACGACTTCTCCAGGTCACCTTAGATGAGGGCTTTGCAATGGAGGACCCTGTGCCCAAGGAAATCAAGGCCCTGAGTTGGGTATGGCTGAGGAAAATTGACAATGGGCCGATGGGCCTACAATTTCCTGGAGAATCTGGAGATGTTGAGTGGGTATACAGTATAAGTTTTTGAGCTTCCAATTTCGGAAGTGGACCAGTTTGAGCAACACCCCTTGGACAATTGGACTTTCAAAGGTTGGGACCGAAAATGTATCCCATCAGACTGCATCAAGTACGGATGACAGCCCATCGTCCTGGAAGTACACACCAATGATTTTCCCTCCAGTAGCCAACCACGGAAATGATTGGAAATCCCTATGACTATCTATGGCTCATGGAATAACAATCTAAATGGATCTAAATGGATATATACATATATATATATACAGCATATATATATATTTACAGTATATATATCATAACTTTATACAATAAAATGTTTACACATGAATAATATACACATTTATATATTGAATACATATTTAGTTGCATTTATAAATGTTTAGATTCCTATACATTTGCGAACTCACACACACGAACACACAAACACACAAACATACATTACATTACATTGCATTGCATTGCATTGCATTACATTACATTACATCAATACATACATACATACATACATACATCCATACATAAACATACATACATAAACATACATACATAAACATACATATACATAAACATACATAAACATACATAAACATACATAAACATACATACATGCATGCATGCATACATACATACATACATACGTTACATACATACATACATACATATATACATATATACCTACATACCTACATACCTACATACCTACGTACCTACGTACATACATACATACATACATACCATACATACCATCCATACCACGCATACCACGCATACCACGCATACCACGCATACCACGCATACCACGCATACCACGCATACCACGCATACCACGCATACCACGCATACCATCCATACCATGCATACCACGCATACCACGCATACCATCCATACCATGCATACCATGCATACCATGCATACCATGCATACCATGCATACCATGCATACCATGCATACCATGCATACCGTCCATACCGTCCATACTGTCCATACTGTCCATACCGTACATACCGTACATACCGTACATACCGTACATACCGTACATTACACACATTACACACATTACACACATTACACACATTACACACATTACACACATTACACACATTACATACATTACATACATTACATACATTACATACATTACATACATTACATTCATTACATACATTACATACATTACATACATTACATACATTACATTACATACATTACATACACACATACATTACATACATTACATACACACACATACACATACACATACACATACACGTACACGTACACGTACACGTACACATACACATACACATACACACACATATACATATACATATACATATACATATACATATGCATATGCATATGCATATACACATACATACACATACATACATACATATACATATATATACATATACATATACATAGACATAGACATATACACATACATATGCATATACATACATGTACATACATAAACGTTATATGGTTTATTGCCATCTCAGATTACTGGAGGGTATACTCAGAGCGCAGGTTGATGCTGTTGAGCTGAACACTGGTGGAAAGCCCTTAAGAATGAGAATCGACAAGTTGCTTGGCCCACGCCACAAGAACTGCCTGGCGGTTTCACCTTTTGTTTGTTATGTTTACACATTTTTGCCCCGAGGCTAGCGATTGAGTTTGGGATCATCAAGGGCAAGCCAGGGTCTCGGCTCCGATCCAATGATGTCCAATATGGCAGTGGGTCAAAACCATGTACCCCTGGTGAACATCAAAATAGCTGGTAAATGGATGTTCATCCCATTAAAAATGGTACTAATAGGTATTGATCCATAGCCATATGTCAATATCCTGCAAGCGTGGTTCGCAATCTTTGGCCGCCTCGGTCCAGGAACGGGGACTACATGGCATACAATGTCACCTTGCCAGGTGCGCAAAAATGGCAGGACCATAACCTGGCAATTTAACGATGAATTTCGGCTAAACCTGGTATCAACCCGTTGTTTATGGTGGTTTACATCCCAAGATGGATGGTTTAATGCCAACACCGGATTAATAAACCCCCCCAGAAGGTCAGAACTCTACCTTGTAGGTCCCCACCTTAAGCACCCCTTAATAAACGGCCTCTGAACCATAAAATTTTGGATATGGCTCACGTCAATTGGCTGAAAGCTATGGGGGACATTGGGAATGAATAGGCAAATCCAAAGAAAAAACATGTTGGATATGGTGGTTGATTAATCAGGGGCAAACCCTGATTATTATTAATGGGGGACATGGGCTCGTGGGGGTTACCCTTTGGGAGCTATCCAAACTGAGGATTTTTATAAAGAATTTCATTAGAAATCGATCATTTGGGGAATAGTTGTTTTTTGAAATTTTCAATGATCAAACTTAAACCTTAAGTATAACAATGATGATAAAAAAGAAATGTAAAAAACAATTGGAAATAAATAGAATTGGAAATAAAAATTGTTGGATAAAAAAATGGATTTCAGCACTGGTGGTTTATTAATCGGGGGTAGGCCAAAGTGTTTATTAATCTGGGGGGACCATCTGTTTTTAAATTACAAAAAAAATTGGGCAGTGGTGGTTGATTAATCTGGAGGGGTTGATTAATCCTGACTTGACATTAATTATGTTCAATACCTCAACCAGCCTCAACCATCACTTTCAACACCGAAACTACCACAACGCCAGGTGGCACGCCCATCACGCAGGAAGCCATGGAGCATCGGCAAGAGGAGGGAAGTTCGGGACCCAGTGATCTAAACCACGCTGAAAACGCAATGAACCGTGGGATCCGTTGGATTTCACATGATCTAACCATATTGTAGTGATTTATAGTCTATTATAGTGAACCATCAAAAACAAGTGGGATAATTAATAGTGTAACCCCGGGCATTTCATTTTAGCTTGGCTTGCACCATTTTGCACCTTAACACTGTCAATGCATTGCCGGCCCGGAAAACGATAAGAGTAAAAAAACGATAACGATGCTCATACATATACATTATAATACATTATATGTTGGTTATGGGACAGCTTGAAAGCACCAACCAGATGATATACCATTGGTCCTTGGGGTCCTTTTCCAAGGATTGTGTGACTGTAACCATGGTGAATCATCAAACAGCATTAATTAAGTAATTTGACCGCGCCAAGACAAGTGGCTTCAACGTGATTGAACCACCAAAAAAGTTGATTTGACTACCCAAAACAGTGGGTTTAACCACCAATAACTTGGATTTAACCAGCCAAAATGGGGGTATGGCCCAAGTGTATCAACTAATATTGGTTGAAAGCTGCAGGTGATTGTCCAAACAAGGGGTTGACATCCAAAATTGCCATCAAATAATGGAAAAACAGATCTTAATCCTTCGGAATTGGGAATTTCCACTTTCAGTCACTCGTTTTACAAGCGAAGTTCTGAGGTCCCATTTGATATCATTGGAATTTGGCACGTCTGGTGATATTTAAGCTGCGAAGATGGGGTTTTGCCCAAAGGTGGATGCCACTTACAGCTATGACTTTGGCAGCACATTGGGGCTCAATTCAAATAGTTATGGTCCTGGTATGTCCTGGTCCCTGGTGGATTGTGGTGCTTCGAGTTGGTTAGACAATTTGTTTGTGCCCTCAGGTCAGAGGTTTACTGGTACCATCCAGTGGTGGCACCGGTCAGTAGCCAAGCCTGTGAAAGTGCCAGCATGACAGAGACATCAGATCACCAATCATTTTGCCATTTGCCAAAGACATCTCATTATAGTAGATTATGGTCATATAGTAATTGTGCAATTATAGATGGGTAATGATGGGTTCTCAAAATTATCACCATGTTTATCCATTTTTTGGGTAAATACTAGCCGAGGTGGCAAGGATGGGGCCACATCCTACCAGATCCTGGCACGACCTTCCCGGAAGCCGTACCTTGGATTGTATATCCCAGAACTGGTTAGATATCCTAAAAAATTGCCATTGGAACCGGGAGAATTTATATAGATATGGATAGATATACATTGCATCACATATAATATGGAAATATGGATATGGATAAATATGGGAACATGATGCTTAAACTATGGGATTCGGGGCTTCCAATATTGAGGCAATCCCAGTGTGATTTCGCCTGCCCCAATACTGCCAGACTAAAATTCCCCTCCAAGGTGCAGAAGAAGCTAGATGAGACTGCCTCACAAGCTGCAAAGGCCAGAAGTGCAAGTGGGGACGGCGAACAGTTGAGAAAAGGCATGGACGTTTTCTCCATGTGCAGTGCCGCTTCAAAAACAGTTCCAACTCTACAGTTTCAACATGTTTCAACTCCAATATCATTTAATATCAATAGGGTCCCGCTCCAAGATATGTGGACATGTTTGCACTTGCGCGGCCTTTCAACCTGGAATGATCCGTGTTGGCGACATGGCGACTTTCTTTTTCAAGTTTAGGCTGAATCCTCACTGTTATTCCAGATATATTCCGGGTAGTTTGGGATGTTTGGGTGTTTTTTTTAATTTGGGAATGCCTGAGATTTCAGAGAAATTCCCTTGGCTTGAGGCAAAGTCTGAGGAGAAGGGGAAAGAGAAGTTGCTGTACTTCAGAAAGGCTGACACTGCGATGCCTTGATGTGTTGCCACGTGTTGCCCAGCCACATCCAGCCACATCCAGCCACATCCAGCCACCCTGCAGGCCGACTGCGAATGGAACCTACGGACAGAAATTGGGAAGAAGGTGACGTATGCAGCAACGTGGCTGAAGCTGACAGGCAAATGGCATCAAAATGCATCAAGTAGCCAAACCAAGACGGATCAAGTATCATGAAGAGCTTGGAACCGCATCAGAAGATACCAAATATCATTCATCATTAAACCATATTATATAAACCAGTTTCACAATCGCACGTGGCATAGGTGACTAGGAACAGCATGGAAGGTGATGCATTTTTGGGGCTGAGGTGTACCTGGATGACAAGGGCGCAGGTGCCAAGGATGTGGCACCTGACGGGCAGGAGCTGGGTGAAGCACAGGAATTCACAGGCTGCATGGCCAAGTCCCCAACCTGATATAGATATATTTTATGTGAATATGTTCTGCTATGATAGATATATGAGATTATCAGATTAATTATATGAGTAAAATTGAGTAAATGATTATACCTTTTTGTGAAATTTTTGGTGGTTCTGCTTCAAATCAATATCTCGGGCCGTGCAGTTCACAAGTCCAGGATTAGTCCCGGAGAAGGACGAAAACACTCTGAGCCAAAGCCATTGCAGCCTCTCAAAATGTGAGGTGTTCAATAGCAAGGGCTGATGACATATGGCAACCAGTTGATTTCAGTAAATCCAAAGGGAACCCAATCCACAACTCCCTGAGAATTGCGGTAAAATTTAGTAATTAGTTTGGACTAAAAAGCATCTAAAAGCATTGTATCGTGGCCTGATGAGGCCTGATGAGGCCTGTGATGTATTAGCTTTTCAACGAGCACTTGCAACTTTAAGATGGGCCGCTTGTAGCTATATGGATAAGTGTATTTGTCGTCTTCTTGCACTTCTGAAATTAGATTAGCGCCACAACACATAGAAAGCACTCGCTGACATCATGTCAGTAGCTTCTATGTGGCAGGTTCTCCAGCAACGGGCCTTTCTCAGCTTCCGAGAAGCTCGAGTCAAAAGACTGCACCCTTCGGGGGGTGCAGCGATGCTACAAGGCGTTTGCAGTGTCAAAGACTGAAACCAGTCATCCAGTCATGCAATACTCATTGGAATATATTGGAATATGTCAAAGATGAATTCAACTTACATACCTCAATTTAATTAGTGTTATGTTTTTGGTTCCTGGTTTGGCACTTTGGGTGATCCAGTGATCAGCATTCAACATCTTTCAACCATGTTCAGCTGTAGAAGCCGGATCCAAGCCCGTGATCAATTTGTGCACGCTGAAGATTGGCCCTTGAGTGGCAACTTGAATTGTGAAGAATTGTCAGGGAAGAGCTGTAGAATGACATGTTTTGATATGTTTTGTACCTAGTTGGTGGAGGACCGATGTTCAAAGGTATGAAGCGAGATGGAATTCCGACTTCGGGACACCACTGCGAAAAAGCTGGGCTTCAGCTGGATTAACTACTTTGAACTTTGACATTGCCAGGGTGCAGATTGCAGTCGAGTCTGCATCATAAACTCCATGCCGCAGTGGATGGCAGTACCGAGCCAGTCAGCTTCCAACAACATGATGTGGCAGTTTTACCACTTGGGGTTTATGAAAAAGTCTCGACCTTTTCCTTTCTATACATATATATAATTATATAATCATATGTATATATATACACGCACTTATATACATATGTTTATATTAGATACTATATGCATTACATACATTGGGTGTTTATGGTTTCGCACGGGGATTGCCACATGATGGCAGTTTTAGTCTGCAAGGGACATCCAATTGCTGGGTTGCGCCTGATGGATTCCTCGAGATGCGATCCTGGGAAGGGGCTTGTCCTGCGATGATGGCATGATCGCAGTCTTGGCGCTGCCCAAGGTCTTTTTCCTTGCATTTCATGTAACGGCAGGTTTGCGTCCTTTAGATTGCTACTCGGCATCGGCGCGTAGTGATGCGGCTGGCGGGTTTTCTTTCACTGGATTTGTTGAGTAATTTTAGGCTTTGCCACACCACTGTTTCGTCACAGCTTCTACCAGTGCCATGATTCAAATGTGCCTGCTTTTTCTTTGACATACGTCGCTTTGCACGGGAGCATATGGTAAAATATGTTTGGTAATTGTTCAGTGTGAAAGATGAGCAATCCCAATCCCGCCCCTTGAAAGAGATTGTATATAAATGATATGATTGTACTATATAATATTATAGTGAATCTGAGTTTTTCAGATCCAGGCAAGGAAATCACTTGGCGCAACTTCATGGAGTGCATGTGTCAACACATTTTGCGATCATTTCAGATTCAGATCATTTGCCTGCAGCAGTTTGAACGTCCTGGCCTCATGGTTTGATTGCACTCACAGCAGCCTAGGTGACGGAGTTGAAGAAGACGGTGTTCGCTGGGACGTGGTGAGATCAGATCTCTGCCACGCTTTGGGGGAGGTGATCCACAATGGCGCTTTGTCGCGGGACCTGCATGCAGCCAAGGACAGGCTGATGATAGTTGCTGTGAGCGTTGAACGGGTATAAAAAAGACCATGTTTTTGCATTTTTTGGGGGAGGAGGGTTAGGATATGCTAGGATATTAATGGATATTATATATACATACAAATATGAGATCAGTTTCCTCCCCTGCCCGTCTACAATGGTCAAGAGGAAGGCGGCAAACCCTCCTAGACCTAGGCTTTTGGTGTCTAAAGTGAAAACCTGAGGTCTCTGTCTAGTAGTTGAGGGTATGTTTCCTGGAGATGCGCACGCATACATATATCCAGCTAAGTCCTGTTTCCTTGCTATACGCATGCATACCATACACACACATCCAGGTACGGATTCGTTTGTGCATGTTCCAGTGCCAGCGGTTCCCCCTATAAGTCTACCTTGCCAATGAAGCTGTTGGGCTAGAAGGACTCCAAAGGTCGCGACCCTGCCGTGTCCTATGGAGATGTTCAGCTGCAGCGCCATTTGGAACGTTTCCAGAAACTGGTCCTGGACTCTCGACATCTCGACCAGTAGAATTTGGATGGGATGTGGCATCAAACCACAGACAGGTTTAGCTCAACCGTGGTTTGGTAATGTAATTAGCGGCTTAATTTTTAGCTAGAAATGGTGATATACTCTCCAGCTAGGATCAACAGTTATGTATGTGTTCATAGTTTTGCCGGGCGCTTCAGAAGGGCCACACGTATCCACACGGGCTTTTGTGGATTTGCCAGAGAAAATTCCAACATTCTTTGCTCCTTTGGTGAAGTTTAGTGACTCAGTGACTCAGTCGTGGCTATGGTCCTGAGGTCCTCCCTGAACGGAGCAGGTGTCCTTTGGGAAGGCATTGCCTGAGAATCTTGGTGTCTGTCTTGTACTCTGGCTTGCCCTGGGATGCCTGGTTCCAGCGCTACGAGGAGTGCCTGTGATGTCAGCGACTTCCAAGTTGTAATGACACCGAGATGATCCGAGATGGGAAATTTATATAATAATTATAATATCTCCTGTTGTCCTGTTGTTGCTGTTGGTGTTGGTGCTGTTCTTGTTCGTGTTTACCTCACCTTCAAAAGGCTTGGTTGGATATCAGACCCCCATTGGTGGGCGTTGTTCGATTGTTTCCACCGCAACTGGCACAGGAAGATCTGTGGGGCCTCGTCCACGGCACAAACTGGACAGAGGCAGCTCCGAAAAATGCGCCCATGCATTGTAATTTTGAGTGTGGTACCACAACTGCGAGCATTATACATGCAATGATACATACATTAAATTATAGAATTAAATACATGGGGAGAGACTTACATACATATAATTATATATATATTATGTTGTTATTATGCGTGTGGTTTTGTACGATACAGTGTGTGTGTGGATTTATGTTAGGTTCAGATGTTATCCCCGGGCATGACATCAGGGTCGTTTGGCAGTTTGGCATCTCCCGGTTTCTCCAGCGCGGAAGCGAGGCATTGTCCGGCGGCTGGCCAGTCTTTGAAGTGCTCTTTCTGGTGGCAGATCTCTACGGAGGCTTCCCAGCCCTTGGAGCTTGGAAATGCTTCGAACTTGGAATGTTTTCCCTTCGGAAACTATCGGTGTTCATGGGCACCAAAAAAAAGGGGCGGGGTGATGGATGTTGAAGCTGATGACTACTGTGCCCTTGACTAAGCCTAGACATGCAGAGACGTCCTGGGAGGTGAACAACTTCCAGAAGATTGTCGCAGCGTGGAGTCCAAACTACGGGCCTTGGAGAAGCTCATTGGCGATCCAGAGATCATGACGGGGTGCTGCTCCAGAGTGTAATGCTTCGTGGGTGTTTTCCAATCTTCTGGTAGAATATGCTGCCGTTAAAAGGGTACTGTATCAGACTGCATCAGACTAAAATCAACACGTGCATCTCATTGTTTTTTTGTTAGTGGGCCCCAGGTAAAATCAATCTGCACACACACATACACTTGCTCAGAACAATCTTTGCGAATTCTGATGTGAAATGCATCGTACGTGCAAAAACATTCCAGTTATACCTGACAGGAATGGGTCGGTGAAAGGACCGAGAAGTATCGAAAAGGTATCATTTCCATAGCCAGTGCAAGATGAAATAGGTTGACAGATGGCGACAACTGTGCAGAAAATTGCACAAAACGACATGGAGGTTCTTGGGTTGAGCCTCTTCCCATCATCAGAAAATGAAAATTGAATGGAAGCAAACCCTGAACAACAGGTAATCACAATAGTGCAGGTACGTCCAGGTGATCAGCCTGGATATCCTAAGGACACCATAGAGAGCTTCGTTGGGCACAGCTCTATGGGCCTTCTGTGCCCCCCTGCTCTAACATGGATATTGAAGTTGAAAATGGCAGTTGAAGTTGACAAAGCAACACGAAGAGAAAAAGCGAAAACCAAACGAACAGCAAAAACGACATCATCAGGTAGAAGTTTTACATCTGTTCAGATGTTCCACACACACACACTAGACAAGAATGGATCATTATATGATCCGGCAGGAACTGAATCCTGAAACATGCAAACCAGCCTAGATCGTTAGATTAGTGAAGGAGCCACATGAGGTACTTCTCGAAAACGATGTAGGGTATCCAATATTGTCCAACGTAGTTAAAACCAGAGTCCAAGGTGTTTTGACCAGTATGTTGAAAATCCAAAATCCAAAATAATGTTTCGGCGATTGTTTCCCAAAAACCCAGAGTTCGTCGGCGACATGATCTCGGCGAAAATATGTCAAAGAATCATAATACTGTCGGCGATATGGTTTCGGCGAAAATCTGAGGAAGGTTCTGATGCATGCAATACAGATTGTGGCAACCGTGTAGATTCGAAACAACGCAGTGTAACAGCTTGGTCAACAGTTCAAACTGAGTTTTGCAGGTACAAGTGGTTGATCAGACCACTCATCCACCGAAATGCCATAGCTTCGTTGGACTGGATAGGCAAATCGGCTCCAGTCCCCCTGCAAATGTGAAAAGATTCCCTGCAAATGTGAACAGATTTGAATCAAAGAAGTTTTACATCTGTTCAGATGTTACACACACACACACACCCCGCGTGTAGCGGGGTTTGATTTTTTGGATGAGCAACGCAGCAAAAGTTGGCAAGATTATTCAAATACAAAAACCTTTTCCGGTGCTAATGTACAGAGCCGTGTTCAATCACTCAGAAGGGAGGTGCGTCCCAGCTTGAAGTGTTTGGATCGCGTCACGGAAGCTCATGTCCTCGAGCATCCTCCACGTGTCGTTGAGTTCCCCCGATGCCATAGCAGCCCTCAAAGTGATGGAAAGTTGTTGGGCCAGGTCCTGAATCTTCGGAGTAAAGTGGGTTGCCTCCGTAGGTGCCGTGGGCTCAATGGGAACATTGTGATAAGGGTGATGTCCATGTACTAGAGGAATCTCAAAGTGATGTCGCCAGTAATCCGCTGTGCGCAGGGACCACTCCCAGTTGCCCGAAAGACCGTAAAAGTAGTGCTCAGGATCACGACATTTGGAAAGCCCGGACAAGGGGATCTCTTCAATGAATAGCTCCCTGGTATTGTTGGAGTGGGTAATGATCTTGAATTGGATCTGGTGAACCACGCGGGAAGAGAAGTGAGCACGATGTAGGTAGTGGTATGCAGGACGTTGCTCCGTCGGAAAAGGGACGTCAAAAGGTGCGAGGCCTGAATATGTATCAGAATGGGTCGTGGTTCCAGTGTCGGTAGTTGTATTGTCAGCTACCAAAGGTGCTGAAGGGGTCCCAGTAGTAGGATCAGGAAGACCAGAAGGACATAGTGTAGAAGCCGGGCCGTCTGGTGCTTGATCTGGCTTGGTAGGAGCAAGTCCACGGTTGGGATTCGAAGGCCAAGCCAAGCCCGCCACGGTAGCGTCACGTTTATGCTCCATGGGTGAAACGATCAGAAATGCGTGAGATGGTGCAACAAAAGCTGAGGTATCACGAAAATGCGAAAGTAAGCCAAGCCCAAGAATAAGAATAACCAGAAAGATGATAAAAGTGAGGTCCAGTCATCAATCAAGGGTTCAAGGTTCACGGAAAGGCAATAGGTCAAAGCCTAACAAAATGGAATGCCCAGAATCCTTCGTGTTGAAAATTGTCAACGGTAAAACGACAAACCCTCGAGCATGGTCTTTTTTGTGGCCAGTGAGCGTATCACGGCAGGATCACACCGGGAGTAACTTTGTTGCATCGTAGACGTAGCACGAAAGGCTGTGAGGTACCCGGGACTAGCAAGGAGGATTCAATGTAGTTGTACTGTCGGAGTCGCCATTCGGGTCGGTATTCTTCCAGAAGCTGCATGATCGTCATCTCATTGGGGACTTGGAACGAATCACCTTCCAGGTCGCAATAGCGAAACTCCAAATTCGAAGGGTCAAACTGGATGTCCCATTGGGTCCTCAATCTTTTTGAAATGCGGAAACGTAGTTCTCCAATGGGAAGGACGCCGGCTTCCACTGGTCCCATCTGACGTGACCAGGTGAACAGACCTTCAAGTTCGTAGCCAGTAACATTTTTGAGGTTTGAGCTAGCCAAAGCCATATAGTGTTCACGGTCAGGTTCGCTGCGATGAGTCAGTTCCTGTAAAGGAGGGTAGTCAATCAAAATAAGGATAGGTCGGTATGGAGGAGGGTTCAAGTGACCAGGAAGGCCTCGGGGTCCAGCAAACCATCCAATGGTGCGGGTGCCCTCTGGTGTCTCAACCGTAGCTGTAGCGCGATATGGATGGGGCCGAGACGAATGAGCCATGGCGTTGAATGTC